TACTTTGTGTCCTCACCCCACTTTCAATGAGGGCCTCTTTTAAAAGTTTTCGGGTTTTGAAAGTTTCTCCACTGGGGAAAAGATTATGGATGGCATAATAGTGCACTTGACAACCTCCACAATTTGACAGTGTGTGCTGTTTCTTCCGCGTTGTATTAAGGGCTTTCCAGTTTACCATTGAAAACGTGTCTTGGTACTGGGCCCTGGCTTTTGAGTTCATCTTTCGGAAAGAGCTGTAAATTGCTTTGGATTTCTTGACGTAGGTGGAACGTTTGACCGCAAAGACTTCCTGACTGTCACCCTCGAACGCTGCAAGATAGTTCTTCCACTTTTCACTAGGGTCAGTTTCAACCGAAGCACTTCCAACCTTACGAAAGCTCTCCTTTATAGCTACTCTTGCAAATCCACAATCAAAAATGACTAAGTGTATTCGTTTCACACGAATACACTAAGCTCGTTATCGAGCGTTATCGTTAGGGAACAAAACCTTGAAGAGCTTCAAGGAATCAGTGTGCGTATCTCGCGATAACTTTCAAGTTTTGCGCCAAAATTGTAATTCAGTCTCGTTATATGATACTAATTGGGATAAAATTACAAACGTTCTTTATTCTTACCGCCCAAATTTGCAAGTTAAGAGACGAGAAGCTGGCGGGAACCCTGGATTTACAGAGATGCAATCGACCTCAGAAAACGAGAAAAAGAAATAAATATCATCAAAAGTATTCAAAGTTTGCCTGTATTACTTCTTAGATTGCTCCAAGCAGTATTTGGTAGTGTATCAGCCGTTAAATTATTGCTTCTGAACACTCGCGTGTCAAAATGGCGGACACTAAGTTGAATACCTGACTGCGAGTTTTCAGAATTCCCACCTCTTAGACAGTTTTAATTTGTCTTTTTTCCAAATAAATAGGAACCTGTGGGATTACTTTCGTTGATAGCGGTTGGAACCAGGTAAAGGCTAAGATGTTTTCGGGCGAAAACCATGATAGAGGAAGCAGCCTCGCAGAGAGAAAACTTGATTTAATCTGCCTAGCACATCTCTCTTTTTTTTGGCAGCCATTCCAAGTGGGAAAACAATGAAAAACGTCTCAAATATTCATAGTGATAACTGCATTTTGATTTGCCTTGTGTTTAGTGGTGGAAATTTGCTCAAGAAAGCAACCGACGAATTTGGCGCCTAAATTAACTGTTTTTGGCTGTTGAGAGTATCATATTACACTGCCACAATTCAGTCCGAGAGAGATGGTAGTGATATACATTTCTGCTAAGTATGAGAAAAATCCCTGGCAAAATAGCTAAGTTATTCTCAATTTTGTGAAAAATATGGGTTAAAGGCAGGGTGACCCAGGCCTTAATTAACCTGACATGCGGGTCGAAGTAATCTATCACGCATGGCTGGTGGACAGAACTGTGAAACGAATTTGACTAATTAACGTTTCAAGTCGCGGGTTTTCAAATGATTTCACCAGTACTATTTCCAGCTCTAGAACAGTTGCTATTTTGGCATAAGAACCTTTCTTAACTATGTGATCTCCGATTTGATTTTGTTAATTCATTTTCATAGGAGCCCCGAAATTCCCGTGTGGGCAACTTTTGTAACCTAAGTTTTATATTCCGCATGAGCATTTGTTTAAATCACTTTAACGTCCGTCAGAAGAAAAAACAGGCACTGTTATAAATTAACAAGAGCACCCAAGAAGGGCTGGAGCAGGGGACTGCTGTTGAGAGTGGACAAAAAAAGTAATTATAAAAGAAAGCGAAAAAACCAAAAGGTCTTGTTAGCCTCGTTAGGCGCTCAAGTAAGTTGTTTTGTTTGAATACGGGAAGAAGTTAAGTTTATTATTTATCTAAAAAGAAAGAAACTACTAAAAATAAGAAACCCTATTATGGCGCTACTAACAGGTAGTCCTGCAACATATCACAGACCACTTCTGAATAAATTGATACTTTCCGGCTATAACTGCTAATCCCTCATAAACATATGGAAATGTATTTGAGGCCAATTTCTCGCGTGGAGCGACTGGAAAAGGAGACAGGCAACACCAAAATTCACGGCGGATCTCAAGTGAATCAATAACTTGGAAGGAATTGATACTCGTTTGGAAAAAAACAAACAAACAAACAAACAGACAAGGAAAACAACAACGAGAGAAAACGTGCTTCAGCTCGCAGTTTCCACAATGGTATACAAAATTAGAGTAACATGTATTGAATATAATCAAGTGTGATGAGGCCTTGCAGCGGAAGTGTCCGGGGTAACATCCTACTGAGGCTTCCAAATTTGAACAAAACAAACAATCATTTTTTTTTTTTTTACAATTTACCTGTTTTTGTGAAATGTTTCTACGCAAAAATTGATTTCTTGGATTTATTATGAATTTAATTGTGTATTAAGTGAGTTGTAATTTCGTTACCGTTACAATTAAAAAGTAGCATGTAATTAGGAGCGGCATAGGGTAATCAAATTAGTTCTGCGAGCAGTGATGTATGAAACTAGGTATTTGCAGGGCGTTTAAGCGCGTAGGAACTTAGCAGCTTGATTGTCAAGTAAAGCCATGTTTAATAGGAAATTAGTGCCCACGAATCGTTGTAGAACGTGAGTGAATCTTGAATCCCACACGGAATTACGTATCTGGGTGTGGATTTCCTCAGCTAATAAATGTAACATTTTTGTAACCCCAGGATTAGATTGTAATCGAGTAGATAGATCGCAGAACGGAACGTGAAATGCTGAATTGTCGTCAATAAAGCCTGAATCAAGAGGAAGTATACAGTCCAAGCTTACTGAGCCAGCGTGCGCGGAATTCTCAGCAACGCAAGTGGGAAATTCTGCGAAAGCTGTCATGTTATACAAGACTTGTCTGGATAAAATTTTATTGAGAAAAAATTCTTAAGTCCGCTAGTCCTAGTTTGGCTTGCAATGAAAGGATTTCCTAATCCGTCTAACCCTTTTTCCTTCGAAGGAAACGATGCATTTGAACGCTGCTCTTTTTTGAATGTCTGTGACTCGTGACCTGAGTCCCCAAGATGGTCCATAACTGTCACGGCAATAACAAATACTTCAAGGGAAAACCAAACTCCTCAAGACACAAATAATTACTTCAAGGAAAAACTAAATATCTCACGGCAAAAACAATTACTTGACGGCAAAACCAACAGGCTTACGGCAGAACCAAAAGCTCACGGCAAACCCAAATACTTAACGGCAAAACCAAATACCTCACGGCAAAAAAAATTACTTCACGGAAAAACCGACAGGCTTACGGCAGAACCAAAAGCTCACGGCAAAAACAATTACTTCACGGCAAACCCAAATACTTCACAGCAAAACCAATACCCCAGGGTAAATCCAAATACCTCAAGATACAACCCAAAACCCGCGGCAAAAGAAAAACACTTACGGCAAAACCAAAAGGCTCACAGAAGAAGTGAAATGCTCACTGGAAGAGCAAAACCGAAAAAAGATATCGTATCAGCGGCTACTGGACACTAACTGTGTGCGTGAACGCTACTCATTTAGGATTGCTATAGGAATTGTGTTCTATCATGATGTGTCCTTTGTCTTGCCAAGAAGAAGCCATAATTTTCCACAACGTCCTAGCTTCACCGACTGGTAAGCGAAAATAATTGCGTGGTAGCTTTATTGTCCTTCAGACGGCGAGTAATTAAAGAAGAAGAACGTAAATATCTTAAAGTATCAAGTATCGCACCGAATGATACTTAGTTACCTACTACTAGGTATACTTATATATAGGATACTTAGGTACCTTGTACCTGGCCCTGAGAAAAGCCGTAACAACACACGTGAAAAAATATCGTATTTTTTCACGTGTGTCGATATAGCCAATCAGCTGCTGACACGTCACTCGCCTTTGGCGCCACATGGTCAGGTTGATGAATGAATGGCAAAGCCTTCACGATTCTCAAGACAAATTGTTTGTCGGAGCTTTCTCGAATTATGGCGACTAAAACACTAAAATATCCGTATTGCTGACAGACAGTGAGTTTCAAACTTTCCTAGAAGGGGAAGAAAACCAATATACTAAAATAAAAACCGATAATTACGGATTCAGTGGCTTTGGTGTTAGCATTTCTTTCGGCTGAGAATGAAATTCGACAAATGAATGATTTGCCATTGGCCGATTTTGGTCGTTACCTGAAAGACTTCTTCTGTCGGTAAAGACAAAGTCAATAAATGAGAATTTTGTAAATTGAAAATTACGACTATTGTTGTTTTTGTAATCATGATTCAATGCAGTTTTCCATCTTACGATTGTTAGTCGGCGATTGTCAATTCATTTATTATCATTCATAAAGGAAGACGGCTTTTCCGCACAGTAAAGGGCTCTTGTGTTTATATGATAAACAAAATAATACATGGTTTCTTGTAGATATGGAATTTCTCTTCTCGTGTTCAACTCGACATCTCACTCGTTCGCTGCGCTCACTCGTGAGCTATCGAGTTAAACACTCGAAGAGAAATTCCATATCTACGCGCGTCCATATGTTATTCTCTATTTAACAACCGAGTTGCTAATTTAAATTGGCCACCGTTAAGGATTTCCAAACTCGTTACGGTAGCCAATTTTAATTATCAATTCAGTTTACAAAACCAACTTATCTTATGCAATCAGGGGTGAATTTCGACAATTAAACGTAAACCGCTCCACAACTAAAACGCTTTAGAGCATGCTATACATGATAACTATGTTTTAGGAACCGCATCAGCCTCATCAATGGAAGTTTAAAACATAAGTGGGTTACTACAAACACCCTGGCTGGCCAGACCTATCGTTTATTGCAACGGTAAATCACAGGAAATTTAAGTTTATTTTATAGTAATGCGTCGATCAATTCAAAGATCCAACACCCCCCCCCCCCCCGAACTTGTGAAGATTCTCGCCCCCAGGGCAAAATCGGCTTCAAATGCCCCACCTTGGCGCTGGATTTTATGGTCTTTTTTGTTGTAAAGGCATGACTTTTATAAGGGACTTTCTTGTAGACCATTTCTACTGAGCCATCTGCTCGCGAAAGAAATTTTTTCACTTTTAAACACCTCCATGTTAAAAGTTAAAATACGTTTATTCCGCTAGAAAGACTTAACATTCACGGGTCAAATTCTCCACCCAAGAAGAGCAAGGTTAAAATTCCCCACCCCTGGGCATAGACGACAGTGGATGACATAAACATTCATATTATCCTCTTTTTCTTTATCACTCCAGCTAACAGTAATGACCAGTCAAAATAGGATAGGAAAGGTTCGTGTGGTCTTACAGGAGCAAATCCTCAAACTGACTTACGAGAAAATGACTATTCCATGCATTTATTCAGTTAAGCATATATTATCTTCGGCGTGCCTTATCTTCTCGTAAGCGTAGGCAACGTTCAGAACAGTGGCCTCGTCAAACTTTCTTCCCACAATCATCATACCAACTGGTAAGCCGTCACTGAAGCCGGCGTTGATTGACAGGGCTGGGTGTCCTGTGACATTGAAAGGTGCAGTGTTTAGGCCAATGTAAGAAACTTTCCTCAAATAATCTGAAAGAGAACGAGTCTAGTTAATCCTTGATTGTAACTAGAATCTAATTAAGGTCACTGTCATCAAAATAGGGTGCCTTCCGGAAACATCGTTCCCCACGCGCTACTTTGAAGGAAAACATGGAAAATTATATATCACTGAGAGTGAAGTATAGGTTGCGAAAATAACATTTTTAATAGTTTTTGTCTCGGGCAAGCCTTTGAACACCAAACTGACGCCGATTGCTTAGCTGAAGTACCAGCCTCTGCGCCGGTTACAGCGGCCATCCAAAAAAACTGGACTATGTTACTCAGCAGATAATAGAGTAACCAATTAAAGTGTGTGGAAAATAATAGGAAAAATCTCGGTTGCTGCTACAGATTCTATTTGTAATAATAATTGGACTGAGTGGAGAGCAATTTGGTCCATAACCATACACATGATTTGAAATCATAAGAACGATTTAAAAGATTTGAAATCATAAGTTTGATTAAGAGGTTATAGTTATTTTCTCTTGATATGATTTCTGTCCAATGTTTATACACCACACAAAGTTCAATTACCCTTTTGCTACAACCATTTGCATTTGCAAATTTTATTAATTATAGGAGTTATTCAGAACATACATTTATTGATCAAGTACCACTAGAATTTCAACTGACATTCGCTTGCCTAGTACTGAAGCGGTTTATAAAGTCAGCGGAACCAGAATTCTGAGAAATTTGATTGATTCATTTTTTTTTACCGCTTGTATTGCGCAATATTCTAATTTCTTTGCGCATTATAATTTGATGACATAACAGATATAATTGTTAAGATTTTCTATCGCTAGACAGTGTTATGGACACCTAGAACCAATGGGTAAATATTTATCTTGATTTCTTTCGATATTATCGATATGAACTGAAACCAATTTGTTAACCGATTACTTTACAGATTTCGAATCTTCGATCCATATCCATGAATTTTGTCATAACATTCATCCGTTCTTTATTGTAATAAAATATCGAGGTTTGGAACCTTTGGTAAATTAATGTCCTAACACACCGTCACATTCGAAATCCATTGGGACGTGAACACGAAGATAATGGATCCAGAAAAAGCGAAAACAGACCGGAAGAATGCCAGAACAATCTTCACAAGGAAAAGGAATGAGCTGCTGAGATCTGTCCGCGACAGAAGAATAGCAGATGTGATTGAAGACGATTATGCTGAGCTCGTCAAAGCATGGAAGGAATTAGAAGGTAAACACAACGCCTATATAGAGCTCCTGAAGGATGACGAGATGAACACAGCAGAAAATTGGCTCGAAGAGCTACGAAGCCTCTACACGGACGCGAGAAATTTAAAATTTGAATACATAGAAAATGAAACAAGAGCGCGCGCAGAAAAAGAACGCGACGAATCCGCAAGCAAAGAAAAGGAATTCATTTTCAACAAAAGGAACACTGCACGCGCAGTCTTTGATGCCTTATATGGTAATGCTTCCCATACGATGGAAAACGAAAAGGTTACAACGACGCACATGAAAAACTTGCAAAGTCAGCTTGAAGAGGCTTTTGTCGACTGTAAACAAAAACACGAAAAGTTAATCGAGCTCATTGATAAAGACTCCGCAGAACGAGAATTGCAGTGGATTTTTGACGTTCAACAGCGCTACAGTGAAATTTCAGAATTAATGGCAACCCGCGTCGATGAAAATGAAAGCAAAACCTTCATCAAATCCAATGACGGAGCAACCCTTAAGCTTACCACTGATGCCATGAAACCTAGCAATATTCACCTAGAGAAGATCAAAATGCCGAGATTTGATGGCGAGTTAAGAGATTACCCCCAATTCAAACGAGACTTCGAGAAACAAGTTATGCCCAATTTGAATATTAATACCGCACCTTATACGCTTAGATCCTGCTTAGGAATGGAACCCCTTGCTCATGTAAAAGCGTAGACGACGACATCCAAGCAATGTGGGAGCGACTAGACTCCAAATACGGCGATCCTGCAAAAGTCGCTGATGCCATCATCAATTCCATTCAGAATGTTAAATGTATTAAGGAAGGTGAGCACAAAAAGTTCATTCAATTCGTCAATGTAATTGAAGAAGGCTATCGCGATCTATGCAACCTAAAATTGGAGAAAGAGATAACTACAACTAGCTCGATCAGCATCATTGAGAAACGATTACCCCCTGACGTAATGAAAGAATGGGCGAGATTAGTCAGCAACGACACGAGCACCATTGATAAAACTGATAAGTTTCCAAGTCTATTGAGATTTCTACTGAACCTGAAGAGAGCTCTTGAATACCAGAACGCAGAGTTACGCCTGAGCAGTGAAAAAATTAAGGGTTCCGTGAATCATACTGACAAGAAAGATGACAATCCAGTTGAACAACAACGAAATACCAAACAAAACAGGCAATGCCTAATTCACGAAAATGGTAACCACTGGACAAGCGAGTGCCGAGTATACCTCTCCAAACCGATTGAGGAAAAGGAGAAGATTGTCAAGGAGAAGGGTGCTTGCTGGTCGTGTTTGAGACGTGGACATCGCTCGCAACAATGTCGAAGCAAACGAATCTGCAATGTCAATAATTGCAAAAGAACACATCACAGTACACTGCATCAAGAGAAGAAAGTAGAACCCTCGCCCAAACAAGAAGAAACGCCACCTTCAGTTTCTGGCACGGCAAGTGTATGCGACAGCACTGACGTTGACACCTGTTTACTTCAGATACAGAAAATACGAAGTCCAAAAGGTTGGGTTAATGTCTTGTGGGATAATGGAGCATCCCTTTCCTTTATTACAAATGCAAAAGCAGAGGCAGAGAAACTGAGAGGAACCAAAGTTCAGCTATCTCTGGTTAAGGTTGGAGGAGAGAATGAAGCCCTGATTTCATACAAGTACAAACTTCCTCTATTTGACCTACAAGGCAATCGGATTTACTTTGACGTGTACGGGATAGACAAAATCACTTCAGACATCCAAAACGTTAAGATAGACGGGATTGCAAAACACTTCAATAACATACCAAAAGAAGATCTTGTTCGACCCACTGGTACCGTCGATGTTTTAATAGGCTATGAATACGCCAACTATCATCCTCAGAAGGAGAAGAACGTCGACCACCTCCTACTCCTAAAGAACCGTTTCGGTAGATGCCTTGGCGGGACACATTCTTCAATCAAGAATATGAATGAAGAGCAACCTCTTAGAAACATCAGAGCTCATCATGTACGAGCAGTAAGAATCGAAGATTTCTATAACATCGAGAATCTCGGGATCAATTGCAATCCGCGCTGTGGAGGCTGCAAATGTGGCAAATGTTCAGTCGGAAGTAAAAACTACAGCATCAAAGAGGAGAAGGAATTAGCACTAATCGACAAGAATTTGAAATACGACGAAGAAAATAAGGTATGGATTGCCGGGTATCCATGGATCAGAGACCCTTATGAACTTCCTGACAACAAGCGCGTAGCATTCAGCATGCTCATGTCAACTGAAAGGCGACTCATGAAAAATAAAGCTCACGCTGACGTCTATCAAAAGCAAATAGAAGATATGATTGCTAGAGGTGTAGCAAGAAAACTCTCCCAGGATGAGTTACAAAGCTATAAAGGACCAATCCACTACATTTCTCACCACGAAGTCCTGAAACCCGACTCAAAATCGACCCCCGTGAGAATCGTCTTCAACAGTAGTGCGAATTATATGGGACACGTCCTAAATGAGTATTGGGCCAAGGGTCCAGACTTACTGAACGAATTACTAGGAATCCTGATACGATTCAGAGAAAATGAAATCGCCATCATCGGAGACGTAAAGAAGATGTATCATACTGTCAGAACTCAGGAAATTGATCACCATACTCATCGCTTCCTATGGCGTGACTTCAATACAAGTCAACATCCCAATACATACATCATACAAAGGGTTTCCTTTGGAGATCGCCCCTCTGGGACCATAGCGACACTGGCATTACGCAAGACAGCAGAGCGACTCAAACAGCAATACCCTGAGGCAGCAAACGTAATAATCAATAACACCTACATGGATGACCTTATCGAAAGTGTTCCTACGCTGAAAGACGCCAAAAAACTTGCCTCAGACATGGAGAAAGTTCTGATCACAGGAGGATTCCAGATTAAAGAGTGGATGTATTCCTATAACGCAAGCCATGTTCAATCAATCCTACCAGTTACACCCAACACAGCGACGGAAAAGGTCCTTGGTGTCGAATGGAATACTAACCAGGATGAACTTTGCTTCAAGGTCAAGCTAAATTTACAAGGCAAAATGAAGAAGAAGAATCCCAAGCCCATCGCTTGTGACGCTTTGACAAAAAGGAAGATCCTGTCACAAGTGAACAGCATATACGATCCACTCGGACTAGCAGGACCAGTTACTGTCAAAGCTAAGATCCTCATGAGACAACTATGGATAAGTGACCTCACCCTCGACTGGGATGATCCTATACCATCAGATCACACGAAAGACTGGATGATTTTCTTCGATGATCTGCCAGGAATGAATGAAGTGAAAATAAGAAGATGCATGAAAGCTCCTAATACCGTAGGAAATCCTATCCTCATCATTTTCTCTGACGGGTCGACAAACGCGTATGGCGCATGCGCATATGCTAGATGGAAACTGACAACAGGATAATTTGATAGTCATCTCATCATATCTAAAAACCGCTTAACACCTGTAAAGAAAATATCCATCGATCGTATCGAACTTTGCGGAGCTGTACTAAGCAGCAGATTGAAAACAACTATAACATCCCACTGTAGATACAAGTTTGAAAGAATCATCTATATTGTAGACTCGCAGATTGTCCATGCCATGATCCAGAAGGAGAACTATGGTTACAACACATTCGCAGCCGTTCGGGTGGGAGAAATCCAAGAAAACACAGATCCCGAAAACTGGTATTGGACAGAGAGCAAAAATAACATCGCCGACTGGCTGACCCGCGGAAAGAAGTCAAATGAAATTGGCATGTACACTTTGTGGCAAAAAGGACCGGATTTCCTGAAGCTGCCTGAATCTGCATGGCCAATCACACGTACTTATACACAACGGCATGCAAACGTAATCACACATACCAAACCAGATGAAGCTGTAAACGATTCACTCGCAAAACGAATAAACATTGATAGGTTCTCAACCTACAATAAGCTTATCCATACAACCGCTCGAATTCTAGCAATGTATAATAAGACACACAAGATGACATTTAAAAATACCTCAAGACCGCTCACACCAGATGATATCTCGAAGGCAGAAACATTTTGGATTCATGAAGCTCAAAAATCAATGCAACGTGACATAGATAAAGGGAAATACAAACGACTTTGTCCAAGGAGGCGCGATGATGGCATATACGTCGTAGGTGGCCGCGGTGAGAGATGGATCGAGATGAGTTATAACAAAACCGAGGTAATACTTCTGCCATATCAACATCGCCTCTCACGCCTTTATGCTGAGCATATTCACAGAAGAGGCCATCTCGGATTCCTCGCGACGGCCAGCAAGGTGAGATCAAGATTTTGGATCACGAAGTTGTTGACACTAACCAAATCCATCAAATACAACTGCATTATCTGTAGAAAGCTTGAAAGAAAACCAGAAGAACAAATTATGGGAAAACTCCCAATAGAGAGGCTGAAACCCACACCCCCGTGGAATTCCACTGCGATTGATTATTTCGGACCCTTCAAGATTAAAGACGAAGTCAAGAAAAGAACATTTGGAAAGGGATATGGAGTACTGTTCAACTGCATGGGAACCAGAGCTGTCCATATCGACATAGCTCCTGATTACAGTACTGACAAATTCTTAATGGTACTAAGAAGATTTGTATCGATCAGAGGATACCCTTCCAAATTGTATTCTGACAATGGCAGCCAATTAGTAGCAGCAAGAGCCGAGCTAAAGAAAGTCATCAACGACTTAGATAAGAAACAGCTATTAGAGTTCGGAGTAATGGAAGGATTTGAATGGAAGTTCTCATCAGCAGATGCCCCCTGGCAAAACGGTGTATCGGAAGCACTTATTAAATCCGTGAAAAAAGCAATCACATTAGCTATTGGTGAAAGCGTTCTAACCTTCTCCGAGTTACAAACCATTTGTTACGAAGCGGCAAATCTTGTAAATGAACGACCAATCGGCCGACATCCTACATCAACAGATGATATCTATCTTTGTCCCAATGACCTCCTCCTTGGTAGAGCAACATCAAGAGTACCAAGTGGACCTTTCAAAGAGCCGTCCAACATCAAACAGCGCTTTGAACTTGTACAACAACTAACTGACTCATTTTGGCGGAAATGGACTCGAGACTACTTTCCAAGCTTATTAGTCCAACAAAAATGGCACACGGCCCAGAGAAACCTTGAAATTGATGACATTGTTCTTATCCAAGATTCTAACGCGAAAAGAGGACAATGGAAACTTGGGAAAATATCAAAAGTTTACAAAGGGGAAGACGGGAAGGTCAGACGAGCCCTCGTCGAATATAAAAATCCCAAGCCTGGCGAAAAAGTGACCGAATACAAAGGGAAAGGCTTTACAACTATCGAACGACCAGTTAACAAGCTGATAACTATCCTACCTGCATCAGAAGACAAATGAACTATTTTGGCAATAATAACTCTGAACTATTATGTTTAATTCTGAAATGATTTTTACCGAAAACTTTAAACAGTCTGTAATTGCCGGCGGGGAGTGTATTGCGCAATATTCTAATTTCTTTGCGCATTATAATTTGATGACATAACAGATATAATTGTTAAGATTTTCTATCGCTAGACAGTGTTATGGACGCCTAGAACCAATGGGTAAATATTTATCTTGATTTCTTTCGATATTATCGATATGAACTGAAACCAATTTGTTAACCGATTACTTTACAGATTTCGAATCTTCGATCCATATCCATGAATTTTGTCATAACATTCATCCGTTCTTTATTGTAATAAAATATCGAGGTTTGGAACCTTTGGTAAATTAATGTCCTAACACACCGTCACACCGCTCAAAGTGCTCTGTGAGCAAACTCGTGAATTGACACATGATTTTTTAGATTATGTTTAATGTTATCTGGTTTAGGGAATTTTGTGGTTGATTGTCATATCTAGAGTACGAGCAGTAGTTCAGTGTTCGCTAATGTAGCAAAGAAACAAAGTAACGTTGGGATAAGAAGGCATTACAATTGAAATGATCATGCTATTACATTTGACAAGGTGGATGATGTCATGTGTTTTAAACGTCTATCATTTTTGTTTCTGGTTCAAAAGAAAAGGTTGGCAGTAAATGTGGGTGAAAAGTGAAATTTACTGTCTTTCGTTGTAAATATTAGAAAATCAAGGCAATGCTGTCTTAATGAAAACATTGACGATTCCCTCTTTATCAAATGAGACAAACGGGAACGAGTTTTGAGTGATATAACTAAGCCAAGCCTGCCACCGTCATTTTGGATCTCCGCCTGGGTAGATTTAAGTCACGTGCTAGGCAACGTATAATCAATAACAAGATAGAATTTCATTTCAGGCCTATTTATCAATTTTGTGGTGTGTAACTTTCGCATTTTAGTACGTTGTATGTATGTTGAATCTTCAAATTGTCTTGAAACTTAAAAGAAAATTGTTCTTTAAAAATTCACTGAAAATCGGTAGCTAAAATTTTTTGTTTAGGTGTTATTTGATTTTCGTGTTAACTTGTAATTTCGTCAGTCGCCGGCATCTTTTGTTGCTTCACAAAGGAAAAACACACGCGACGAAACGTAATGATCAATTTTGTCCTCAATCTCACGCCATAACAGAAAAAGCTTTTGAACATCTGTAAACTCCGAGCGCTTCGCAGTGAGTGATATTTTCAATGAATCTTCGGATTGTTTTCAAGTTCAAGGATTGTAAATTACAATTTTATGAAAAACGAAGATTGTTCTGTTATTTCAGTGTGAATCCTTGCATGCCTACCAGTCGCTGGCGCCGCTTGTTGAAACTAAAACGAAAAAAAAAACTCTTTTAAGATTATCATTGGCTTCTTTTTCACCCCACCACTATTCTTAGCAACAAAGGTCGCCATTTCGTCTGTTTATTGCGCGCCAAAAACTATCAAATGCACTCAAAAGCCTAAAATCTAAAAAAAGTTTACAGGAATGCCAGGAGCGAATGCCATTCCCCACATCGTATCTATAACTCGCTCTTGCGCATGCGCGCAATTCACGAGTTAGGAAAAAAGGACAGTTTTGGTGACAAAAGTTGCAAGATTCACCACTCAATGACTTCTTTCAAATTGTCTTTCATTTTCCTAAAAATTTCATTGGTTATTCGAAGCTAGCTTTGAAATCTGAGTGCTTGTTTTGTTTTAGCGTTGCCTTCTCGTCGGCTGGGCAAAGAATGTGCCGAAAAGCAAAAAAACAACACGAGTCGTAAATAAATCGCATCACTGAGTCAGAGAGCAATCAGATTGTAAGGACAAATTGCAAGGATCACCAATGATTGCTTAATGGATGACTTAAGTGAAAGTACAAAAATATCAGTAAATGAATGCTTGCATTTGGTTGTAAAAGGAGCAAGGTGTGATGTGTTTTCTCTTTGTTTAGATTTTTATGCATCAATTTATTTTCCATTTGTTCATTCTTACATTCATTAACTTTCATACCTGCAATTGATAGTTTAACAGGCGGGAAAGACTGCGCCTTTTTGGGAATCGTTGGCATCAACAACACATCATAATCTTCTAGAACTTTGTCGTATGCTCTACACAATTCTCGTCCCAAGTTTTGCGACTTGCTGTAGAAAGTTCCATTATATTCTGTTAAAAGGAAGCGTCCAAGTAAAATGTCTTTTTTGATGGTGATTGGCAAATCGTTCAGGTGTGTCTTCAGGCCTCGTGAAAAAGCCTCATGAAGCGTACTGTCGTAATACATCTTTGAGCTTGTTCCAAACCCTAAAAGATCATAAAACGCCTCTTGTTTATCCTTCCAAAGGTAATGTTCAACGGATGATAAAAAAAGAAACAAATAAACAAACAAACAAACAATAAACAGGATTCTGCTTGTTTAGCTTCTCAACGTGTTGTGATTGGTCTACAGAACTTTACGCTAACCTCTCAATCAAACAGACAGGGTAACTCGCCTTAATCACGTGCTCCAGGTGATTCACATGGTTTCACTTGAGTTCTCACTGGTTTACCAGTTCTCATTTGGAATAACCATGGCGCATCAAAAAGCACTCTGCACAACGCGATTGCACGAACACTAATGACATAACTATTTGGGTCCATGACCGCTAAGGTTTATTCTGGTTTCTGCGGCACAGGTCGATTGAATTTAAAGCGTTACTTCTGAGCAAGACCTTCCTTATAATCCACATTCATCATTCATAGAAAGGACAGACAGGAATTCGTAAAAATGGAACTAACTTACTGTCAGGGAAATTTCACTAAAGAACAAGGAATACTAACTAACCTACAAACCGAGCGCGAGGGCAACATCGGGGAACATATTGGCGGCGTGAGTCAGTGAAAAAAATTTTTCGCTTAAAAGCGAAATAGCAACATACCTGCCCCAAAGATCGCTCGTGTCACCCCTTCTGCACATATACCTTGAAGTATGCTTGCTCCTGGGTACAGAAGTGAGAATGAACGAAAGGAAAAATGAAATGTAAAGAATAAAGGAACGAGTATAAATGAGACGGATGGAAGATCTTCAACTAGTTGAATGACGGAAAGAACTGCTAAACATGCCTGACAAGCAGATTGACCAATGAATAGTTTTATTGACTGACTGACTACTCTGTGACTGTCTCGCCACTTGAATAACACTTTTACAAAAAATTCATGTCTACCTTCGTAGTGCATGGCCACAGACACATCTTCTACTACTGCGCCCGATGCACTTCCGAGATGGTCAGCAGCTTTTCTCACAAGCTTGTCAACGTCAGGCTCTGAGCTGAACAGTCCAAACCCTTCCTTTAATATCCCGAGCTTAAGATGCGAAATTTCACCTGATAACTACAAAATAAAGTCCAGTGCTATATTGAAGACAAAAAAACGCGCCGAGTGCATTGTTGAATTATATAAGCACGCGGGAATTATTAAGAACACGAGAGAGGTGTGGAGATGCACGAGCCGAAGGCGAGCGCTTCTAGCACTTCTCGAGTGTTCTTAAAAATTCCCAAGTGCTTATATTGAAGAAATGTGTCGTGCGTGGTGGTTTCCTACGCTTATCGCGTGTTCTCCCAACCTCCCGCGTGTTTACATCAAGCTATGTAAACACGGAAACCATTTTACATTTCTTTTATAAAATAACTAATGAAAGAGGAACGAAAACCGTGTTTACATACGCTCATGTAAAATGGTTTTATGGCCAATCAGAGCGCGCGTACTATTTGAATTATTTTATAAAACTCAACAATGCCCAAGGAACGGGGTTTTTTATTTCCTTTATAAAATGGATAGCGAGTTGCGCACGCTCGTATAGATGACGTTGGCTGCATGCATTATATCTCAAAAGTGCACTCGTGTGACGTAAGGTGCATGCTTTATGGAAATATAATGAACTCTTTCTGACCAATCACGGTGCGCGTATTTCTCTGAATATTACATATATATATTTGATGTTCTCTTTATACTCCCTCTCTCGCGATCATTGATTTGTCAAAGAAGATATCAACATCTAACTTGCAAAGAAGGTGAATCTCTAACCACTGCTTTGCTTCTTACACCGATCACGCAAACGTTTTGAATATTTCAGTTACCTTCGAAGTGTATGTCTCATCGATGTACAAATCTCGTGGCTGCCTGGGATCGAGGTCTCCGTCAAGCCCAGCAATCACCTAAACGTAAACAAATGGACAGGGGAAATAAAGTTAAGATATTCCCTTTAAAAATTCACTTATCCCTAGTGTGTTCATGTAAACGAAAAGGAAAAGTAAAAGTCTTTTCGTAAATCCTTACCTCCAACATCAAAGCTGTGTCATAAACTGTCCTAGCCATTGGTCCCACATGATCCAGTGTAAATTCCATCTGCATGATCCCAGTATATGGAACTAAACCGTAGGTGGGTTTTAGACCCACAATTCCACATGCGGCGGCAGGCATCCTAATGGAGCCCCCTTGATCTCCTCCTAAAGCCATATCCACGTGACCACCGGCAACCTGTCAAAAAAAGTAAAACCAAGATAAACAATTTTGTTTGTTACATTTTAATTCGTTTAGGATTTTCTGTGAACTTTATCGATTTTCTGACTCGTTCCAAACCAAAGGTTTATTAAAAAAAAGCAACAACAACAACAAACAAACTGGAGCTCTAAGAGCATGGAACCTGACCTTACTAAAGATAAACAAAACAAAGAACAAAAACAACAGGTGACGTCGCCCCGTTGCACGGTCGCCCATGGTTCCGTCGCCCATAATTGAAGTACCTTTTATTAAGGTTTTTCATGTATCTTGACAAAAGTTTTAAAGCTTATAGGTTCAATTGCCCGAGTGTGAAAACCTTCAACCAACCGGCGATCGCAATGTTGAGACTGCTTAAAAACCTGGCACAAATATCCCTCGCGCAAGAGCCATACCTTTTAAACCTCAAAATTGCTTCAATAAACTTAGATCAAAAGTTGGGGGCGACCCACCTTCAAGTTGGGGACAACACCACCATTATTCACTTGGGGCTACGGAACTTAGCACGACCGTGCAACGGGACGACGTCACCTACATCCACCGATTTCACTGATTAATGGTCAGGCCCGACCCTTAAAAATCATACTTTCCATTCATCAACGAATTTCAGATTTTAGATTAGAACCTCACCAAAGCTGCCGAACCAGATGAAGAACCATAAGCCATTCTTTTACAGTTGTATGGATTCAGTACTGGACCTGTTACTGAAGTAAAACTTCCAGCGTCATAACTTAAATTCTCGCAGGCAGCCTTGCCGATAATGCGTCCACCGGCGTCCAATATCCGGGTCACTACTGTTGCGTCAGTATCCGAGATAAAGCCTTCCAGTAGTTGGGAACCGTTCATAAGGGGAAGTCCTGCAATACACGTGTTGTCCTTGATGGCTACTGTTTTACCGTGAAGCTTACCTCTTGATGCTCCTTGGATGTTACAGCGCCAGAACCTGCAAGAGTAAAGGTAAGGTATTGCGGAGTCTTTTTTCCTTACTCTTCGGAAAAAACGGTTTGCTTGTGATTAGTATGTTGTACCCTGCATGCAAAGGTTGGAGTTTGACTTCCTTGTGCTCTTCCCTCTTTTGCGAGAGATGCTCCATCCATAAGAGCAATGATGGAACTGAACGGATGGGTGAAGGGAAGAGGGTGAATGGGGTTGAGAAGGGGCGGTTTTTGGGCATCAGTACCCTACTACGAATTGATACCATTCAGGAGAAGTGATACTTCAAGTCAGATAAATCATTAAGCCAGGCTCTGGATGTTATGCAAGGCAATAACGTAAACTGATAGGACACTAGCTATATACCACTTGCAGCACTCCATACAACTGTCGCTGGAAAATAACTTCATCAGAACAAATTGTGTCGGTCTACAAGTTTTTATGTGCGGGCTGTAATGCCTGCTATGTCGGCGAAACCTCTCGACATCCATTCACACGTGTACGTGAGTCAGTGATAGGGCCCCTCACATTTTCAGACATCTAAACAATTCTCCACAATGTCGCACTCTTTGATCTGATGAATGTTTTAACATCGTAGATCACGCTTCCACAAGTTTTCAACTTGAAATAAAAGAAGCTATCCACATTCAATGGGAGAAACCTACTCTTAATCACCAACTTAATCATGTTAATTTAAAACTTTCCTTGTAAATGCATACATTGTTCTGTTAGTATTGTTTGTTTTGTCCAATCAGCATTTTGTTACACCCTTTAAATTCAACTTTGTACTTCGTATTATTCAGAACTGAAGATGACAGAAGAACTGTTGAAACATGTTTTTTTTTTAATTTTAAAAGTGCCGTTAATTTCTTAAGTTCGTTACAAAATAATAAACTTAATAATGATAATAACAATAAAATAAATGAATAAAAATATAGGTAAACAATTTTAACAAAAGGTTAAGAAGAAAACTTTTTTTATTTTTACTAACCAAGCATTGTAAGGGTTGTCTTCTGGTGATGGTCTGTAACCTGGTGTCCGTGGATATTTCACTGGCAGTTTGGGGTCTGGTAACTCGTACAACCGTTGGTAGGTATCAGCCAGAATAGTAGAAATGGCCTCTAGAAGACATCAACAATACCATGAGAGAAAAACTATATTATCTCGTTAAAATTCGTCCCTCACAAATCCTCCGAAAAGAGGGGAATAAATTACTTAAAATTGGTTAAAAATGGCATTTACAGCAATTTGAAAAGAATACAAGACACAATACAATTAATTATTTTTGTCATTTGCCGCGTGCTTCCTATCTGTTCCTGCAAAGTAGTTTTTTGGCTTTTTCATTTCCTTTCGTGAATTTCTTTTGCGCTTCATGTTTTTCGGAGTTTCCTTGACATAGATATTATTTAATTTCTGTGGCCCAAACAACGGACATATTTTCTCAAGCTCTTTAAATGGTATAATCAAAGTTAATACTCTTTGTACTGCTCTCAATCAAAGATAACATTCTCTGTGCTGCTCAGTAGCTTTTTTTTTTCTTTTTTGTACTATTGAGTAAAGTTAATCGTTCGTGTTCAGGAAAACTCTCAGCTCAGGCTAGCAATTCATCGTATTAACATCAACGATCTAAGGTACAACTTCTAAAATTCCCAACGCGGATATGGATGTCTTTTTACCTTTCACATCTTTTAATGGAAAAGTTGTTCTCCAAAGTTGACCTTACTTTTTCGCCTTTAAATTATATTTTTTCGTTGTATTTTCTTCCTAATTTTCGTAACCGCTTCATACCGCTTTAGACGTCGTTTTCTCCGCCTGTTTTCATCGCTTCGCTGCGCAACATTTCATCTCCAAGTTCTACTATGTCTCATCGCTTCGCTTCAATAAACTTTGTTTATATCTTTATCGTCGTGAACATCATTATTGTAACTACCGTTTCTTGGAACATGTCAAAGAAGTCTCTATTTTAATTTGGTATTAACCGATCGTCCTGTGAGTATCGAGTTCTGCGTTCACACTCTCCTAAGTTTAAATGATAAACTAATTACTTACTCTGGTATGATCCAAGATCAGATTCAGGAACATCCAATCCCGTGTCTTGTGCTATTTCTCTGAGACGCACTAAACTTGGTACGCGTATAGCGGGCTCCTTAAACATTGCGCGAACGCCAAGAGACCTGGCAACAAAGAGTAATTACGCTTGTGGATTATTGCTTGTGTAAGAACGGTGGCTCGTAAGAATCACGGCCAAAGTTAGTCGTACAACACAAAAGGCGATAAAAGGTGAGAAAACTGAAGAGTACTTAAATTAAAAGAGCTCAGTGAGTAGGGTCGTCCACATTATGCCGGCATTATTTGAGAATAGTAATAGGGCAAGACAATCAAGCATTATGCTGCAATAAAAGTACAAAAAAAAATTAATAAATAAGAAAGAAATGAAATAAGAAAATCATTTTTTAGACTCTGCGTTTTAGAAAAACTTTGTCAGATACGTAGGAATTTCAACTAAGACACCGCTAGCTCGTTTTTTCAACAAATTTAAATATTTTTAAGACTACGCTTAAGCTTGGTTACCAAGTAGCCAGGTATTACATTTCAAGATCACGCGTGGTTACAAATTAGGAAAATAAACATGGATCCCAATATTTCTAGGTATTTTTATGCTAATTGCAATGTGCATGCTTTAACTGAACATAACAAATTAGCATAATGTGTGAAACATCAACCATGATTTGTATTAAGTAGACAACTATCAGTGAGTAAATTCTATCTTCCTCTTTCCCAATGCGCACACTTTTGAGCTCGTTTAAAACGAAAACAACAAGCAAATGAGTGAACAAACAAAAACGACAACAACTTCAACCACATAAACAATAGTAGCGGACATAAAATGGACTAAATAATTTGAGATGCATGCGCAAGTGATCTATTCACCTTAACATTCTGTAAGCTATCTAGTTTACACCAGACAGTTCTGTATGTCTACATTGAGTCAACCTCAGCATCAGCGTATCATTCCATATCTTTCCCTAATATTTTTCTCAGACATTTGTTGTCCATTTGAAGTCAAAAACCGTCGAAGTGAGACTCACCTTGGGCAGCCACCATGCGCATTTAACTGATAATAAAACCTTTTTAAAAGCCGCAGTTCCTCAAACAGAATTTTGCACGTGAAAAAAATTGCCATGCAGGCCCTAACAGCTGACTACAATGTCATTTTTTTTTTCTTCACCTCAGATTCTATCAGGGTGTAATAACATTAACGCTTTAGTAAACAAACACTCAAAGCGAAGATTCGTGGGACGCCATTGGGTCAGGGTGTTACTGAGTTCCAAGAGGGAACTTAAACAATCTGTTGTCGAGGTTCCTGTTCTCGGATTATGCGATATTCTAGAATTTCACGTTGCTATTTCGCAGAATATAACTGGGATATGTACAAAATTTTAAAACGTACGAACAGAGCTATTGTTATGCTTGTTAAATATTTTGTTTCACCTCGCTCTCGTTGCAGTCGCCGTCCTGGTTTGCATATAAGGTCCTTTGGATCAACGAACTTGACAAAGAGAATTCTCCAAAGACCTTTAAACCACGATAAAGTGGCTCGCTGGCACAGATGCCAGGAGAGACTGTGGCTGCTTACATTACAATCACCGTGTCACGCTTCACCTCTCATTACGCGTAAGCTACTGTTTATGAGTAAAATTTCGCATACTGACAATCTAAACCTTGACTTTACGTACGAATATGACTTTGTGTGGCCAAAAATTAACAGTTTAGCTGAGCAAGGTCACAGATTATTCCCTGGAAAGATTATGTAATTTCGATTAAGGTTTGATTAATGTCGCTCACAAAGGAACAAGCGGTTTATCGTACTCACTTGGGCTAAGTTAAGAGCTCTGGTGTAACTAATGCCTTTTTCCTATTCTCTCCGTCATGATATCCCTCCTTTACCTGGGTTTCCAACCAGAAATAATTTGAGCCAAATATGACGGGAGAACGCACTGATTAAAGTAAGAACCCAACGAGACCGACAGAAGAGACAAATCGTTATGCAACAATTGTTCTTATGAAATGATAACAATTGGACAAAGTGAAATAATGGAACACAGAACTGCGGAATGCGTATTATACGTAATATTAAAATATTGCAAGTCAGACTTTTAAATCTTTATATATTTTTATCGTTATTTTTATCATCATTGCAATTATCATAATTGTTAGTATCATTTTTAATACCATTTTTTTTTATTCGGTTCACCGCCCAATTCAGCGTGAGTGACCAAAAGATATAGGCGTTGCATTGCGTTACTTCAGACTACTACTGCGTAACGTAATGCAGATCATCTCCAGCGGGGAAACTGAGGCCCAAGGCCTGAGGCGCTGGAACGTCGCGTGCTCATGAGACAGTTGCTATGACACTCCCGCTGGTTGTGTGACTTGCCGTTTATAGTCTTACGTTACTTGATGAGCTTAACTTTATATCTGTGTCGAGTCTAGTCGAGATTTCTTTCTTTTTTCGAGATGGCTGAAGCAAGGGACCAGGTATGTGAATAACTGATTTAACGAGATAGGAAATCTTACAATCCTAAATTTAGACTAAAACGATCCTTGGACATGCAGATTTAATCAAATACCAGACTGAAACGGAAGTGTTAATATATCAGATAATCCATGAGATGCAAACTTGGAGTGTTTTTAAAATATCAAACGATATGTTCATTGCTATTTTGATTCGAATGTAGCACCATCAGTGAAGTTTTCCACCGGTAAGGATTAGTGACGACCTCGATTGACTTAATTCATTTGACATCTATTTCCGGGCTGAAACAGAAATTAATTCAAATGTTGGCTGTTAACGAATTAAGAGTCAAAATTGAAGCGCCATTTCTCAGAGGTTCTCAGTGAGTTATGCGAAACGTTCTCCATTCGCTGATTTCAAGGAAATTTAAATAATGCTGCCACAAAACATGGCAGACCTACATGACTTTATATAAAATGAGACAGGTTCAAGGGCATGCATGCAATCAATGGGCAATCGAATGACTGCCGCATGTTCTGCAAACACGCCAAAATATGGTAGCGGACTTGATTAAGGGTTGTTGAATAATGTTCTTTCCACGTTTTGAAATCGTTAGATCCACTATTGGAACTACTGATAACCTTGAGTTTCAGCTCAAATTAAAATTTTCCTCAATTAACAATTATAATGTCTTGACTTGAAACGTGTCACGCCAAGTCTACGTGGTTTACAATACGGCAGAACAAAGACTTAAGCAGCGCAATGTGAGCACAAATCACTGAATAATGAACGTAAAAATAGAGTGCTGACAGCCAAATGCCACTATCTCACCTCGCCTGTTCTCGAGCAGTGACCGTCGGTTTTTGGGTTGGATAAATTATGCTCGAACATTTTTAGGGTCACCCCTGAAAACATGGCATACGCTCAAAAGCTGTCATTTCGCTCAATTGAAATATAAAAACAAAAGAATTGCCCCTCACTCATTCTTAACACCTAAAAGTAAAACTTACTGAGAATAAAAGGCTTACAGAAGTTCCGAACACATGCTAGTTTCAGGATCAAATTCCTATATTGAAAGAAGAAAAGAAGGCTTGATGTTGACGTTATTCAAGCTACAGAATTTCTCTCGAGTTGAACAGCAACGTCAAGAGAATTTTTAAGAAGCATAAGTCAATATGCTGGCATTATGCTCGATGTTCTGACTAAGGCATTGTTGCAACATCATGCCAGCATAATTTATCTGACCGGCATAATTTATCTGAATCAGATCGGTCAACATTCGCGGGTAAAAGTGTATTGTTACCCTCTGATGTCATAAATTTTGCAATGCCGCCCTCTCAGAGGCTGACTGGAAACACATTCAAAATAGGATAGCATGCGACCCCAAATTAAACAATAGGGGCATGCGCTGTTTGGGAAAAAATTCAAGCCACTTAATTATAAAGCATATTAAGGCATTTGCTAATATACATTATTTAGGAAGTCTAACCTCGATCCGTATCAATCTCCAGTTCTTTCGAGTGTGGTTCTTACCGGTGTTTCTCGTGATTGCAGCGTCGACGCCCATAAAACTAAAGCTTCATTTAAAAAAAATTATTTTGTTGATATATTTTAGTTAGCTCCTAGTTTCCTCAGAAAGTAAACATTTTTACAAATCTTATAATCATTTACATTTTATTAGTCTATGTGGCCTTTAGAAAAGCTTTACAAAGACCCGCTGTCCGTGTACCAACCCTCTCGCGTCTCTCTAAGGGCCTATTTACACGGTACGACTTTGTCGCATGCGACAAGCTTACGACAAGCTTACGACACTAATTGTTTCGTGTAAATCAAACCTACAACTCGCTTACGACTCTTAAGTCATGTCGTAGGCCTGTCGTAAGCTTGTCGCATGCGACAAAGTCGTGCCGTGTAAATAGGCCTTAAGATTGCCTGCTCGACATATGCTGTGGCAGGCGTAGGTTAGGCGGGGTACACCTGGGGTTGAGTGTCAGGGGTAGGTAGGAGAGGGTACGTTGAATGAAACTAAGTTGAGTCTACTGCCAGTGTTGGTTTGCATCTTAAACTATATAGTTTACCTTGGTATGCCCTTTCTTAATGGAAAGTGATTTTTTCAGCTCACAGGGAAAATAGAGAACTTGAGAATTGGAATCTTGAAAGAAGGCTTTGGATTGAAGAATTCCGAAGCAGATGTGGATAAGATGGTTAGAGAAGCTGCAGAACAGCTGGCTACTGTAGGTGGCGCAGTTGTCGAAGAGGTGTCTATTCCAATTCATTCTCACGGTAAATGATCATTGCGTGAATGTTAAAAGCGATCCAAAGAGGAGGGAAACAGAATTAATTCTCTCAACATTGCCTTATACTTGAAACATAATTATTTGATCCAAATATTGTGCTAAAATACCGTTACATGTATTTCATTCGAATAGAATTTCGTTGTATGTTCATTGTCGATTGAAAATAAATTAAATTATTCAAGATGCTTACGCTGCTTGAGATGATCAAAGAATGTTCTCTCCTTTTTGAAAAATGTTTGATGCTTTGCATTGTTATAGTCGTAAATCCAAGGCTTAACACTTTAACTCCCATAAGTGACCAAGACAGAATTTCTCCTTACAATATCAATACACTACCAAGCAGACAAGTGAGGAGAATAAAGAAAAATATCAATTAGCGGCCCGGGATTATTAGATGATCCAAACCCAAATTCTCCCAATTGACGTCACAAAAATTGTATGGGAGATATTAAGGAGAATTACTTATGAGATCTTGGGGGTGAAAGGGCTCATTAAAAAACAGGAGCCCATGGGCTCCTATTATACATCAACTAATTCTTAACTTTTTTTCATTGTGAAAATGTGCTTGTAGACCACGATAACTCCTTCAACGTAGTCATTTGTTTTTTATTTTTATTTTTGTCTTTCTGTTTGTTTGCTTATCTATTTTTTTGCCCTTGTTTTTTTTTTTCCGTTGGCCTTGCGTTTTGATAGGTGGTCGAATCTTTAGGGCCATCCTAGAGATCGGAGGCGATCGAATGATGTTTGACGGAGCCGGTGAGACTTTTCTTTCAGTCATGGTGGATTTTGTTACGATGCAAAGATCAGAGGAACTTCCAATCAAAGTGTCACTTCGGCCCTCTACAGCGTGTTTCTAGATATTAGCTGATAATGATCTTCTGGTAAAGAAAATGCCTCTGTATTTTAAGGATCATAAATAACAGTCGCCAAAAGAGGATTTTTCCTTTTGCAATTCGTAAACATTAAAATGATAAAGCTCAGTATTACATTTGTGGTTACTTTTGTATTCAGCGTTGGTAAACGGTCATGTCAAGTCACGTGGAACCAAACCATGGATGTTATTTGATGTGATGTGATGTCATGTCATGCCATCCTATGTCATGTCAAGTTTGTCATGATATGATATCAATTTCATGTCACGTTACGTCACTTTATGTCATACTATATTATTTCTGATTACGCCTCATCACATCAAGTCATTTGTTATCAGTACGGGATGTTGTATTGAACGTATCTTTTTTTTTGCAGGTTTTGGAACTTCTGCAGAGATGTATTACGACACCACTCTGCAAGAGGCCTTCTTCGATGCAGCACTTGAAAAATACGATGTGTTGATTCTGCCAACCATCCCAAAGAAGGCACCAGTTTTCCCGAAGGAAAAGTCCCCTCCGTTGCAAGGTCCGATCGTTATCATTTCATCACATTAATATCAAAAATGATTTATTAATTACTTTTTAATACTTTAATAAGCTAAATAAATAACGTTAAAGCTCTTGAAAATGTAGGGAAGACTATATATCTTTTCCAAGCAGCAAAAAGTATTAATTTTTGGGCGAGGTCTTCATAGGATATCTTAGTTTTCGCAATTTACTTCGGCCAGAACTTTTCATTTACGCGATCGAAGATTTCAATTCTACTTTGGGGTACACTTTTGACAGATCCTGTGTTTTTAGACTGTTGACCGACCAGTCATTTCGAAGACTTTGGAGATTTTGGGAGAATCTGTATTTGGGTAATTGATTCACTTGAAAATGCCATTAGTATCAAGACATCTGTTGCAATTTATTTTGCAGATTATTTGGAGAGGGCTTCTGAAAGTGTTCCAAACACGTCGCCAACAAATGTCACAGGACACCCAGCCCTGTCAATCAACGCCGGCTTCAGTGATGGTTTACCAGTTGGTATGATGATTGTGGGAAGAAAGCTTGACGAGGCGACAATTCTGAATGTCGCCCGTGCTTACGAGAAAATCAGGGACACTACGTTTGAACCTTTCTAATATGCTCCCTTCCAGAATATTAGCTAAAAAAGGTAGCTCTTAGCCCTTTTAAGATGCGTTTTGCCTAGAATAGCGTAGTTTGTATGTTCCCAACATTTTGCTGGTCTGCGGTAAGCACTGGACGCGTCAAGTTTTAGGCTATTTTACATGCCACCTGTTGTCCAACCTTATGCTAATTGTAAAATGTAGCAATTGCGGGTTGAAACGTTTGCATGACTGAAAGCTTTATTATATCCTTCAGCAGCTCAATAGTGTGATTGTCAACAGAGCGACGAGAGCTCTTTTTTTAAAGATGCTTCACATAAATGTTAAGGACACTGTCTCTGAAATGTATCGGCGTGTAGTTATGCATATGCACTTAATTATCGTCTGAGCGCTAACTTTAACTCACTGTGTGTCAATCGCAGTGGCATTTATTTTAATTACAGAATAATGCAACAATAGGACCGTGTACACAGACGCGCAAATAGGGCCTCCCTAGATAATTACGATTAAATAAGAACGGTGGAAATAAAAAAAATCAGTTTCCTTTGTGTTGTTTCTAAGGACGAGGGGACGAACAACACAGATACGGTGAGTACTGCATCAGCTTGATATTTGATATTAGTGACGTCCTTTGAATGGCTTTCACTTGAATTCTTTAACATCTAAAGCAGCTTCGGTTTATTTGTTCACGCTAAATTGGAGAAATGTTCGCGAGCTTATCCTAACATTCTTGTAGACTGAATGGGCGTTTGCAGGATACTATGACAAGAAAAGTATTTCTTTCCATCAAATCCATAAAGCATCGAAGTTGCATTACATATAATGAATTTACTGGGAAAAGCTGAAATAATAATTTCTTACACGCATACATGAATTCTGCGTCTCGTCTATTCTAGATTCCATGGTTGTGCTTAAGTTCTGCCGGGGGGTCGGGTTATTGCTGCCGGGGGATCGGAGCCTTAGCGTGTGTTTTGACCGTAAGGTCTGACGTGCGCAACACGTACAGAGATCTCAGTGGAGATATAATTTTTTTCTCCTAAGGATCGAAACTTCTGACTCTATCGAAATCTTGAGTTAATATAGCGTAAACTTATTTTAGAAAGACTGAAGAGAATACACACTTTCAAAGGCATTCAATCCTCAAATCTTCCTAACACCTCCCTTCTAAAATTATTCACCCCCTATCCCCCCCCCCTTTACACACACACACACACACACACACACACACCTAGGAAAGGACAGCAGTATTACAAGAACAACAGGAACAGAACGACGCACACGCATTTCCTGAAGATCCTTCTTCATCAAGTTTGAGTAGAAGTAACTTTACAGCCGTAAATGAAGATAAGACGAGAGCCATTATTTATAGTGATGAAGGAATTGGTTTTATGTCTCGTAATTTTTTTTTTCAAAAAAGAAATATTTACATTTCATGCGCTTTTAAAGTGTATTTAAATTATATTTACATGAGAAAACTAAGGAATTTCAAATACTAAACTGAGTGTTGGGTTAAATTTATCGGTTATAGATTTCTCTCGATTGCAGGGTTCTTTAAAGAAGAAGAAATACAAAGAAATACATTGCAGGAAGGAATAGCTTGCTCCTCGTATGTCTTGCACACCATTAGCTAGCATTTAATTTTATGCAGATATGTGGAATGTTTATTGACTATAACAAGACCGTTGCGTAGGAGTAAAAATTAATTGCTTCAGCTAAGACTTCATGATGCTGGACAAATCATACCGTAGATAAAACAAAAGAACTTAGCACACAGTGCTTTCAAAACAACCGAGAGGCATCACCCTATCGCAAAAACAATCAGCTAAGTTAAAGAAATAGGCCTTTTTTTTTCTTTTCATGGGCGCACGACATAGAAAAAAAAATGTGAATTCACCACGACGATAATTTTCGTACCTGCTAGTTACGTTTCATTTTATTCCTTTCTTTTCTCTAATTTGTAGATGGGACTGGCCTTTGTCTTGGGACTTTTCCTAATAGTTTGTTTCACCGAAGTGGATGTGGCTCGTAAGTTGAATACAGAATCTCATATGAAAACAAAGACAATATGTATATGATTTTCAGTATTGAAAGAGTCGTAGGTCAAAGGATAAGGCATATAGAGATTTTCAAGACATGTTGAGGTCTGTGGCCAAGATTTTAAAACGAAAAGCTTTCAGAACAAATGTATATCAAGTCACCTACAATTTATATTTACATCCCAACTCTTCCGTGTATTGGTTTATCCGTATCACTGCCCCCTACGCACGTCTTTTCATCGGACCCATAGAAACCCTACAATATTTTGAAATTGTTATTCTAGATAAAGCCACGGACTGCACTTTTGAAATCGCTATTATACTATGAAAACTCTCTTGGGATGCGGTGTGTAAACTTGAAAATGGTTTTTAATATCATTCGCCATCCTCGTGCGCTCCCAAAGGGACTGAATTGTGAATGAAAGCTCTGGCCTTTCTTCCCCATCCCCACCTCCTCCCTCCACATTATCATATTGTACAACGGAGCATGTCTACTGGTGGTTTATGATTAAAGAGCACGAATCATACAATGGTGAGGATTACTGTTGGAGATCGAATCAAGGTGAATTCCTAATTGTCTCTTGGATCGGTCTGTGAATACTCGACAAATTTCTCCAGCAATTATTACAAAATGCAATATGTCTTTATTTTCTTGTCTTCCATAGATGGAGACGATAAGGACCCGTGTTCTAATTACCGCACCCTGCGTGGTGCTGATCGTGCGGCGGGATTCAACAAGCTGACAAAGAAATCAGATAAACGCAAAACATGGAAAGAGGATTGGTACCGATTCACTAGGGATGCAGGAAACAAAATGGCCACTATGTAAGTTCTTTTTTTTGTGATAAATCAGTATTGTGAATTTATCTTCAGTGACGCAGTGTAACTGACACTCAACCCCCCCTCTCCCCCCTCCCCGAGGAAGAGAAACAAATTTGTGTTCACTACCCACTACCCAGGGTTCTAAAAAACGTTCAAATCGTCGTGAGGAATGATTTCTCGGGGGTGGTGGAGGGAACTCCATTCTCCTTCATGTCGATAGATTACATCATTCTTGTCATCGTTGTCGACGAGTCATCATTGTACGGTAGTCAGTTATTGCGGCAGGAATGGCGTTATAATTCTAATACAAACCAATCAGGGGCAAGAAAAATCGAGAATGCGCAGTAATGCCAATTTGCTTGTAATTTTTTGGTTTGCATTATTATAAATGTCCTGATTAGCCATGTAGTCGGTCATAATATTTACTTTACATGTCATGTTCAAAAATAAGCATGAATTCTGAGCCTGTAATGTTTTTTGCTTCTCTGCGCCGAGACATAAGCTGGCACTGAATTAATAAACCGTCTCAATCTTAGTGACCAAAATGGAGGTGGCTGCTTGAAGTCTCCTGCATGTGGGGCCATGTTTCCTGCCTATCTTCTCAAGCCACACCCTGTTAACTTGAAGCCTGGGGAAAGTGCCCAAGCCACGGTTTGCTATACAACTGGGAAGACTTGCTGCGCAAAGACTCAAGAAATAGTGATCAAGAAATGTTCAGGTTTCTTTATCTACAAACTTCCTCCTGCCTGCCTCAAACGAGGAAGATATTGTGGGGATAAAGGTAAGTCAAAATAGGTACGGATTGCAACAAGAGGACGCAAGTAAAAGCTTCTATTCTTTGACCATTTTCATAAAATGTGTTGCTGAGCTATTTGCTATAAGCTACTGGGACACAAGAAAATTGAAACTTCAATGAGTTAAAAAGGAACAGATTATCCTCATCTATCACCGAGAGGAGGGAGGTAATCTTCCACCGTATTCAGATTTGTTGGGCGGGCGAGGGATTGTGGGGGGGGGGGGATTTAAGGCTTGGGTCAGTGTATGTTTGATTAAGGGTCCGCTTATATTCCTTTTGTTTTATAACAGAAAAAAAGGAACCGGAGTGTGATGAGATGAAACTGTTGTATGGTATGTTTTTGATTACGTGTTTGTTTGTCTTTGTTTTTCATTTTGAGTTGTTTGGTTCGTTCGCTTGGCATGAGATCAGTATTATTAGTGGGGAGTTCGGGTACTGTCCTTTCCATCAATTAGACTTTGAATTAATTCTAAGTAATAGACTTCCGTGTTTACATCGCCTCATCTAAACAAGAAAGGGGGGGCCGAAACCCGGGAATTCTACCCATTGCAATCGCAATCTCCAAAGATGTGGATTTACTGCATAGTTACTGCGCAGTAAATTCAAGTTTCTTGCACATTTTTTCGTTTTTGCTTGCACTCCCTCGACAAGGGAGGCAAAGCAGTGAATTTCGTCCATCTTTTTCTCTTCTTTTTCTCTTCGGGTTCAGGGGGAAAGAGACAAACTCCAAAGCAAAATTTGGAAAAGTTTTCTCCATTACAAATATTTGTTATTTGTGCTTGAAATTACTTTACGAGCGTTGCAAATGCTTTGAGCTTTAAATGTTTTCAAATTGTGCCGGGAAACACAAAAAGCGTGACGTCACAACCGTGTTTACACCAATTAACCAATGAAAGCGGGTTCACTGTCTCAGTCATATTATAATATGTGTTTCTCTACAGGCCTGATCAAAAAATACCCAGGAAAGTCATGTAAAGATATTAAAGAAAAGCGAAAAGATGCAGCTTCCGGTGTGTACTGGATTAAACCTGGAGGAGGCCAAACAGTACAGGCCTACTGCGACCAAGAAACGGATGGCGGAGGCTGGACTCTAGTGTATAGCTACACATTTACAAACTACAGGTTGTTATTTCTCCCTCTATTTATTCATCATCCTACTTGTTTAGTTGTCTGCGTATTTATTTGTTCATTTACTGAACAATCTTTAAATTTTTCAAAAGGGCATTCAGACATGGTTCAAATGCGATTACACCACGTCCCAACTGGCCTATATCCCATCACGTTGGGAATGTCTACCAGTCAACTACCCCCCCTGTAAGTGAGACTGACTACAACGCCATGGAATTCAACCTGTGGAAGTCTCTTGGCAGTGAGTTCATGGTGAAATCCAACATCAACCACTGGATCGCTTGTAAAGAAGGAACCGGAAGTCTGGTGGAATTCAAAACTGGAAGTGTTTTATGCCGCATTATAAAGAACGTGGCTTCTAAATGTCATAACTACGTTCCCGACCAACTCATTCTTCATGCTGCTGGAAATCCTGCAGGTTCTACTCTGGGACCGGATCTGATACGATCTCAAAGTAGCTCATGGTTAAAGGAGTATTACTATTTCGAGTCTAACACACGCACAGGGAACTGGCCTACCCATGATCCTTGTGGCACGAACAGTCTGAACCACCTCACCAACGTCAACAACCCTCATGGAAACATCTACATCCGGTAATGGCGCGTATCATCTGGGTCTTGTGATGCCTAAAAAATCCTGCTAACGTTCTGTAGATGAGCACATTTTAGATCCTTAAGGTTTACCGGTGTAACTTCTAATAGAGAAAACAGGTGTATCTTAAAAGAATAAAAAGAGTGTGAGGCATCAGCGAAATGTACCTACTTTATTTCGCTTGCTAAAGCCATTTCTGATGAAGTCGAGCACCTTTTGAGCATTTTTATTAGAGCTCTGGTTTGCATTTTTAGCACTTTTCCGCACTTTGACTAACATTGGCTCAATATCATTTAGAGGTAGTTTTGGGCAAAAATAGTTTTCTGGAAAGCCTTTTTCAGTTCTTTTTTGATCTCTTAATATGTGACTATTTTTTCCCCCAGTCTTCAAGACAGTTCTTGATGCACTTGAGCTACTCCTCAAACAAACCATTGATATCAATCTCCTTTCAGAACCCCTGGATGACGTAACGCAAAATGAATCGAAAAATTTACTGGTGTTAAAATAAGTATATTAGCACCAATCTTAGCAGAAATATTTTACCTTTTTGCGCACTGCTGATATATTCAAAAATTCTAGGAACTTTAGAACTTCTCTCTAGTAAAAGGAAATTAAATATATTTCATAGAAGTTGTCCCTCCAAACTGATTCTGAAGTCGTATTATCTTCCAACTGAAATGAACTATAAGAGATTACCGAACAAGATTTTGGTGCGACAATGTCAGTCAAGAATTTTCAAGAGTGAAAAAAATCTTGTAGTTCTGAGTCTATTTATAGACATCTTGTAATCTTATTTTTCCGCATCTCTGATCTTCTCGTAAGCGTATGCGACATTCAGAACGGTGATCTCGTCAAACTTTCTCCCTACAATCATCATACCAACTGGTAAGCCATCACTGAAGCCGACGTTGATGGATAGAGCTGGGTGACCCGTGACATTAGTTGGTGACGTGTTTGGAGCACTCCCAGAAGCCCTTGCCAAATATTCTACAAAATAAATGGCCATAGGTGTCTTAGTATTGATGGTTATTTAATGTGAACTTATTTCCCAACAATAGATTCTAACTTTTTCTCGCGAGTCTTCTCCCTATTTTCATGGGGTTATCCTTATTTCTTTTCCCTTTCAAGGTCTTACTTTTTACAAATTCATCATCAAAAGAATGATACATTCAAATGCCAAAATTAGACCTTTTAGAGGAGCGTTTTCCTGCGGGAAAACTGATGCCTTCTTGGGGATGGTGGGCAGAATCAACACATCGTATTTTTCAAGTGCCGCATCATACGCCTTGCAAAGTTCTCGACCGAGGTTCTGTGCTTTTCCGTAAAAGATACCGTGGTAATCCTCGTGCAAATACTTAGCGATCAGCCGAGTGAGTTTGCCTCTCTTTGACAGGTCATTCGAGTGGCATTTTAGGCCTCGTGAGAAGGCTTCCTGCAGAGTGGTGTCGTAATACATCCTTGCCGCAGTTCCAGCCCCTTTAAAACAAATCATTTTCGTGTACAACATTCCTTAATGATAATAAATGACTTGACTTAGGGTTGCGTGACTCGAAACGATATGGTATGACGTAAAGTGACCTAAGGTGACATGACATGCAATGACATCACATCAATCACATGTTACTAACTTGACACGACATAACATGTTACCATAGTCTAACGACGTACATAATTTAGCTCTAAGTTACTCGACATGCCATTGGATGGACGCAAAGGTTGAAGTAACCTCTACTGTTTACCATCGCCGAACACCAAGGCTTGGCCGCAATTATAAGAGCATTGTATACAATTTAAAATGTTTGCGTAGAGTTTAAGGGAAAATCCTCATCTAGCTACTGTTATTCTTGATTCGGGATTGTTCAGAACAAATGTTTACCAAAACGCCAACCACCCCTTTATTTGAAGGGGATTCCTTCGAACTTTCTGTGAAATCAATTGACTTCTCACCAGCTCCTTCAAACATCATTCGATCACCTCCAATATGTCCGATGGCCCCATAGATTCGAACACCTGTCGAAACGTGAAGCCAAAGGGAAAAAAACAAATTATACTTTAAAAAAAAACAAAACAAAAAGAGAGACAAATCAAAAACAAATTATGACATTCGACGAGTTAACGTGGTGCTAAGACAAACTTTCACAACACAATTATAGGTCTTCTCTAAAAGGTCTAATCTGTGTTTAAATAAATCCGAAACGCACATCAAACAATTCTTATTTTCACTCTTAAATGAAGATGTGAACCGATTAGTTAAGTACGTTTGACAGTGTTTCTAAACATTTATTTCAAGTAGGACGCAATGATGAGAAACTCTATTCTCCTCTCCTTTCCTATGGTGCGTTTTTTAGCATTCCCATAATGTTCAGTTACCGTCAGAATGCATCGGGACAGACACTTCCTCGACAGTTGCGCCACCTGCAGTACCCAACTGTTCAGCGGCCTCTCTGACCTTCTTATCAACATCCGCTTCGGAGGTCTTTAATCCAAAGCCTTCTTTCAAGATTCCTATTTTCAAGTTGTGTATTTTTCCTGTGAGCTGACAAAAAATTGCATTGCTTTACAAACAAACAATTACTACCGAGGTATAATAGTTGGATTTCAAAAACAAACCAGTACTGGCATTAGATTCAATTCAATTTCGATCAACCCCTCCCGTTTCCACCATTAACATATATATAATATATAATATAGTATAATATTTGGATTTTCAAAAACAAACCAGTACTGGCATTAGATTCAATTCAATTTCGATCAACCCCTCCCGTTTCCACCATTAACAGTTTTAAAAGTCGGGGTGTCCCCCCTGGCTTACAGCATGGCATAAGTCAAGATATTCTTTCGCTGTCAACCGTTGACCACGGTGTGTATCCGACCTCTCATCATAACTGAAGCATGTCCCACAACCACGAGGCTCTTAGATTCTCAGCAACCACTGTCTAGAGACTCACTTTTGTTTTATCAACTTAGTTGATAATGCAAATTGACCATCCCAAGGCAATACTAAAGCTGAAGTTTCAAGTGTTAGCTCTTCGTTAGAGCGAATGACGAAGGGCTAACGCTCAAAAATTCAGCTTTAGAATCGCTCTACGTCGGCTAATTCACATTATCAACTCAAAGTTATCTTGTGATATCCAACATCGACACAGCATTAGTTTGTTCGGAAACTTCCCCTTTACCATTTGTCGTCTATAAAGTTAGGTTTAATTCTGTATAACCCCTAGTCTTTCTCCATTAAAAATCTTCCTTGTACAACTGAACAAAAGCTAATTTAGCAAGAAAATGTGAATTAATTGACAGTCTTATCTGGGGAGAGACATAGAACGTTCATTTAACATATTATTTCCTATGAATGATTCATCGCCAATGAAATTCAAAAGCAGACCCACCCCCAAAGTATACTCAGGCACTTTGAGATCTCGTGGCTGTCTAGGGTCCAGTCCTCCGTCATATCCAGCCATAGCCTATTTTAAAGTTGAAGAGTCATTATTCATTATTAACGATTAAATCCACATTTAAAAACCCAATAGAAGTGATCTCTAAAATAATGCACGGGTAGCAACCAGACAATTAATATACCGTTTACATAAATGAATTTCGCGCTGTTTTCGAAATATTTTCAAACTGTTGACAAATAACGACACCCACTTATCATTATTGATCTGATAGTCTCCTGCTGAACCAAGAAATCAGGTGGAGCAAAAACAAAAAGTGCGCGATAATTCAAGATTCTTATGCCGTTAGACACCGATTACTTTTATTGGGAAGTCGCAGATTAGATATTTGCGGGAATTCTAACAATTTGTCGTAACTTGTTGTCCTACCTCCAACATCAGAGCTGTATCATACACAGTCCTGGCCATTGGTCCAGTATGATCCAAAGTAAACTCTATCGGCATAATGCCCGTATATGGAACTAATCCGTATGTGGGTTTCAGACCCACAATGCCGCAACACGCAGCGGGGATCCTTATGGAACCTCCTTGGTCTCCACCGGTTGCCATGTCAACTTGACCTCCAGCCACCTTAAAAACGACGAGAAGACAAGAGCGTAATCAAGAAACGTGGCTGCACAAAGCAGCCACATTTAAAACGAAGTTTTGTGTAGGAATAAAAGACGATTCTTATTGAGAGATAATGTGTGCTCGGAACGGAACAAGTCTGAGTCGAAAATAAATGGACATAAAGCAAGGCCTCTGATCCGTCTCTCGAACGTAGGCATGAAGGCTATGTGATTTTTTGAGTGAAAGCAATGTGATGGACAGTTTGGAGATCATTTGTTTGCGATAATAAGATTTTGTTGAAGAAGAGGAGAAATCATTTTTCTTGCTTCTTGGTTTTCCTATTTTCCTATTACTTTTTTACTCACCAAAGCTGCAGAACCAGATGATGACCCTCCACACATTCTCGTCTTATTGTGTGGATTAACCACCGGACCAGTGGCAGCAGTAAAACTACCTCCGCTACAACACAAATCTTCGCAAACACTTTTCCCCACTATGTGTCCACCAGCATCCAATATCCGAGACACTACAGTAGCATCCACATCCGGGACAAATCCTTCCAGGGTACGAGAACCATTCATCATAGGTACTCCTGCCACACATGTGTTGTCCTTGATAGCCACAGTTTTGCCGCGAAGTTTACCACTTGATGCTCCCTTAATGTCACATCGCCAATACCTGAAAATGAAATTAGTTATTTACTACATGCGGAAGATAAAGACGTCTAGTGAACAGAGCAACGATGGCACTTGTTGGAAGCGATCGCCATAGTTTTGCCGTGAAGTTTGTCACTGGACGCTCCTTTCATGTTACATCGTCAGTACCTCAAAATCAAATTAATTATATTTCCACCTGCGATTGAAAAACAGCTCAAGTAAACAGAGCCACGAAGCCACATGTTTGGAGCGAGGCAAAGCAATTTATGAAGCCATCTCACCAAATGACTGCTTCGCTCTAAAGATGTAGCTCAGCAATAGTGCACCCGTCTAGTATCTGGGAGGGGAAGGACAGGTTCCAATCCTGTTGGGGCCTGAATCTTGTAAGACTTCTTTTCTATGCAATTTCTTCTATTGCAGTTCAGTTGCGAGGATTATTTCTTCACTTAATAACCTTGGAAAGTCCAGATTCAAATTCATAAATTTAGAATCAACAATGTGAATTTTTCAGTAAATACCCGTCGTAACAGAGTTTGATTGAAAAGCTAAGTGCCAACGCTAATAGTATATCATAGTGGGGTCTTTGTCATAAATTAGGGTTTCCGCTGAATTAATAAGTTTCTCTGACATTTTACTTACCAAGCATTGTAAGGGTTGTCTTCTGGTGATGGTCTGTAACCTGGAGTCCGTGGATATTTCACTGGTAGTTTGGGGTCGGGTAACTCGTACAACCGTTGGTACGTATCTGCCAGGGTACTAGAAATTGCCTCTGACAAAATAATTATATCAATTACAATAATAAAAATGATGATAAATGTAATAATAGGGAAAATAATACCTAATAAAAAAAAACCAGATAATTGATGTTGGGGAGTCAGTTTTCTTAAAAATGTCCACCATACTAAAGTGAAAGTGCTAGTTCTTGCAATGGAGAGGGGGAGGGGTAATTGATGGAAGCCTGTGGCAAGTTAAGTCGTGTTCCATCGATATTGGTTTATGCTGCTTTCCCTCCGACCAAGTTGGAACTAAATTAAATTGATGAACTCAGATAACAATTTACATCAAATTATTACCAGTACCTCATCACCAAGATTCCTACCTCGATAAGCCATCAGCTCACTCTCTTCCATTTCGAAGCCCAGGCTATTTGCGATCTCAGCAAGACGCGCGTAGGTTGGTACACAGACAGCGGGCTCTTTATAGAGCTTCTCTAAAAGCAGTAGAGAAAAGTAAATCACCAGTTACTATATGATGTAAGACTTGCACAAATGTTCACTATCTAAAGCAACTAGAACTAACTAAAATGTCATGTGACAGTTTTCAGAACAAGAAACGTTATCTCTTCAATGAGATATGTCTATAATTCAAGTAGAGATAAACATGGAAGGAAATATCTCAAATACTTAAGGTTCTTTTTGTGTAATTTCCCATATAGCGAGTTCAAGGGTGTAATTCACAGAGGCAATTGTACAAAGAACAAGCTCTATAATGATATAGAGAAAACCCTGTTCCTTGTATGCACCTTGTGGATCCCAGGAAAACAATGAAAGCACCATATAGTCAAGGGGGTGTTGTTGTTTTCGGACAAAATGCAGGGCAAGAATGTGTTGTAATGAGTTTATGTGGATTAATATACCACAATATGAAAGGAATAGGCAATCCTTATGAATCGAAACAAATAATGCACATTGGAAGTCAACTATATAGCAGTTTGTCACAATGATCAAGACAATTATTTTTACTGCTAACAGATTTACCATCAATGCTTACAGTACTAGAGGAAGATTACCAGCTAGAATACAGTGAAAGTTATAGTCCATGGTGAGCCTACCATTGAGGGATATCAATACTGTATGGGCCTGAAAAGAGCTTTTGAGTCATTGATATCAAAATGATATGGGTCATATATTTTAACAGTTGGATATATTGCTGTGGGTATTAGTTACTGTGCTTATAATGGCCATTTTTAAGTGTTTGACTCACATGCTAGAGATGTTTAAAGGTAAAAGTCACTCTTGAGGGACATGTGGTCTATTAGATATATCATCTACAGACAACTTAGTGCATCACTTTCAAAGTTTATATGGAGCGACTGATCTGTATGAACTAAAAGGTTAACAAATTACAAAATATGATATGCCAATAAGCAACAATGTAAAAGAGGTATTAAAGAGATATCAGGTAAGCACAAGTGTTACAAAGACCACTGTTTTGCAGCAGTTCTTTATTCTATGTTACTCAATCATTTCACCTTGTAGTTACTGGAACTCAAATACCTTAGACGCAATTATTAAAAATGGATCTCAGCTTAAAAATACAATGCAGAGTAAGCACTGCTTAACATCTATTACCCTGCCTGACAGTGTTACAATTTTTGGCACTAACATAAATGTACACATTAATGAAGTAAGTAACAGAGAATTGAGTAATTTAACTGAAAGCAGAATATCTTTTGAGACCTTGATGTTAAGGAACCACACTGGGAAAAAAGGATTTTTAATGTGGATTTCAAGTCACTGTATAGCTTGTATTTGTCAAAAAAATACAAAAGTAAAGCAATTGTTTTCTCTTCTAACATATGAAGACAGTCATAGTCATTCACCTGCTGAATGAAACAGACAATACACATTCATGGTGTGGATAATCTAGTAGAGGAAATTAATATTATTCAAAATAAACAGGAATGTCAAACTATGGAATATGATGTACAATTTATTTGCTGTTCATGTAAAATTACTGAAATTGAAAGGAAACACATCATGAGGAAACACAGAAAAAAACATATGTATGACAGCATGGAACCTGTTGCCAATTGGTGTATTCAGCATTGTTTTCTGTATTGCCAGCTATTCAATCTGTTTTAGCCCAGTTGCTTGGCAAAGCAGTGGTCCTAACAATAATCATTGGAGATTTTATCTTAACTTGGGCATTCCATGAACAAAATAATAGAGAAACATGTGTCATACATTTGTACAAGGCCATACAGATCCATGAGTAGGATAACAACATGATTGTTCATAATTGAAAAAAGTAAACAAGTTTCTGGCTGAAACAAATTTTGGCAGTTGTGTTAATGTGCATGTCCTGATGCCTTCAATGTTAATTATTATGCAAATAAAGTAAGTTACCTAAAGTATCAAACTTAAACAAAGTATTCTTTTGGTAGAGAGGCCTGTGGTTCTGGGCTGAGGTTTTTTGTAAGTATTTACTCTTTGTGGATAATCTAGCAGAGGAAATTAATAATATTCAAAATAAACAGGAATGTCAGACTATGGAATATGATATAAAATTTATCTGCTGTTCATGTAAAATTACTGAAAGTGAAAGGAAACATATCATTAGAGAACACAGAAAAAAACATATGTACGATAGCATGGAACCTGTTGCCAGAAAAAGGTTTCTAGAAGACATTAAAAGAAAATATTCAACTATGGATGCTAGAAAGAAGAAAGAATTACTTTCCCAACCCAATGAGAAATTAGTGAAAGCCAGATCGGTTGAATTGTGTATTAACCAGTTTAAGAGGAAAATAAGACAAGGCCCTTATTTTATATGTATTGTCTATAATCGAATACTTTATAAGAAATCAGTAATAACATGCATAAACGAGAAGTACCCTTGCCAAACATATTTCAATATTCAACAGTCATTTGATGGAAAACAGTGTATATGCAACACATGTCATTCAAAGGTCATAAAAGGAAAATTACCATGTCAGGCTGTAGTGAATAATATGTATGTGGATGAAATACCCACAAAACTATCCTCATTAGAAAAACTACAACAAATACAAATAGCTTTGGAGAAGATTGTGGTCATGCATAAAGGACAACAGAGAAAAATTAAGGGTGCAATATGCAATGTACCTGTAGAATATGATCAGACATGTAATCAACTCCCTCATCTACCTGATAGATCTTGTATAATAATACTTGAGCTTAAAAGAAAGTTACAATCTAGAGGACATGTTTATTTTCAATTATCACCACCAGAGTTAATACAGCAAGTTCTTAACTGGCTCAAAGTACATAATCCATGGTACAAAGACATACTAGTTGATATTAACAATATTAATAGCAACCTCACAATTTTACAAAATGATGCAGACGATAAAGATACACATCAACAGGCTACATAAAAAAATGTCACAACAGATAGTGATCCTGCTTTGGAGTTTGATGCAAGAGAAAACGATAAATTAAATAGTAATGAAGAATAAAATGATGACCTCTTAAATGAATATTGAGCCCCAGTATACTTAGAGTCAATTGTAAGCACTAAAACATGGAACGACCTAAAACCACCTACAACCACTTACAACCATCTACAACCACCTCAAAAATTTCAACAACCACCTACAACCACCTCAAAAACATCTACAGCCACTCGCAAACCATCTAAAACAAGGCATAAATGTTTATAATAAGGCGAGACGACAACATGTCACGTACATGAAATGCGAGAATCGAACAAAACCTCCACCTCCCCCTGAAATCTTACTCTCCCTGGTCCCATGTATAATCAACCATCTCACGAAATGAAATGCGAGGGCATGCTAATTATATTTCATATTCCCTCAGTAGTAAAAGACTTAAAGAACTTTACAATATGAACTATCAAGTTACAAAAAATAATAAAGTAAAATAACAAACTCGTTGTCAAAAGACTGACTTGACTTAGCTTTTTCTACCCTGGGTACCAGCAGACGTTTTGGCTCCCGTCTAGAAAAAGTATGAATAAGAATGGTCACTAAAAATATCTTAAGCGAACTGTGCGTACCTTCGGGATTTTCCTTTGGCACGAACGCCATCGTGCTGGCATTCAGACAGCATGCAGTTGTACGAGTGGTGCCATTTACGCAATAGTGACTCACGTTTTGTTCCAATTGCATTTCCGGTGCTGAGATTATAAATGGAGAAAAACACTACCTCGGACCATTACGTAATCAAATGAAACGCGAGCCAAAACGTCTGCTTGTAAAGTTTACTACTGAAGGGAATATAAAATATAATTGCCATGCTCTCGCATTTCATTTCGTGAGATGGTTGATTATACATGGGACCAGGGAGAGTAAGATTTCAGGGGGAGGTGGAGGTTTCGTTCGATTCTCGCATTTCATGTACGTGACATGTTGTCGTCTTGCCTTATTATAGACATTTATGCCTTGTTTTAGATGGTTTTAGATGGTTTGCGAGTGGCTGTAGATATTTTTGAGGTGGTTGTAGGTGGTTGTTGAAATTTTTGAGGTGGTTGTAGATGGCTGTAGGTGGTTTTAGGTGGTTTTAGGTCGTTCCATGTTTTAGTGCTTACGACCCATTATACCAAACTATCCAGTGGTGAATGCTCAAGTAAGACGCTCCATACGAAGCCCGAGTGAACGCTCCTCGAGCGTCTAGTTTTATCTTATAATTATATCGGTTACTCACATACCTGGTCCCTTACTTCCAGCCATTTGGATCAAGAAAATTCGATTGGACTCAAAGCCGTTTGGAAGTACGGTAGGACTATAAACGGCAACTGGCAAATTATTCATCTGGAGCACAGTATTTGTCCTACGGTCACGCAATGCTAAACGGCCGCAGGCCTATCATTATTCAAACAATAACAAACGGCAAAGGGCCTCTCCTTTGACTGTTTCCAAAGGGAAAGATTCAAAGAAAATAACCCATGGAAACTGAGACCAAGAAAAGGGAAACCCACAGTTAATAATTCCACATAGTGCAACGGCCTGTAATTGCGCGGCGGAGATATTAAAGCATATATCCTTAAACTGAACAACTTCAACAAGTTCTTTTTTTAGGCTAACGAGACGTGTCATTTCAGCTACCTCTGGTAATGAAAGAATTGCTCCCGTAACTGTCATCACCTTTTGTTTAAATTCTTTAGACTCATTTATTTGCTAATGAGACGAAAAAACCGGAAACAAATTCGTTCAATCAGCACATGAATATCTGGCTTAATTTAGTCGTTTTACCATAATTTAGAAATGAAATTGTTAAGTAAGTAGAGGTGAATAACTTTTTAGATGTTGCGTCACTCCATAAATTACTAGTTGATCGCTTATTAAGATTTTCGCTTGTCGGTTATCAATAGTTAGAGCGTCAGAGCGATGGAAGAAGGGCTAACGCTCGAAACGTTATTTTTTAAGAGTGAAACAACTCCTTGTAGTCCTGGGCTCATTAATAGACATCTCATAATGTTATATTTTGGTATCTCTAATCTTCTCGTAAGCAAAGGCGACATTTAGAACAGTGACCTCGTCGAACTTTCTTCCCACGATCATCATACCGACTGGTAAGCCATCACTGAAACCGGCGTTGATTGACAGGGCTGGGTGTCCTGTGACATTTATTGGTGATGTGTTTGGAATACTTTCAAATGCCCTCTCCAGATATTCTGCAAAATATATTGCAAAGGGTTATTAGTATTTCATGGAATCTCCTAGTGAATTAATGGCCCAGTTATTGATAAGTCAAAAAATATCCTTCTCCCAGGAAATGAAAAACCTCAGTCTAGAGTTCTGAAATAAGACAACATTAATCGATTTATCAGTGTACTTATTCTCCTTTCCTAAAAGTCTTTCCCACAATTAGATTCCGCGCACAAAAAGGGAAGAAATACACTGCGTATAAGCTGCGGTGATAATTCCATGAAAAAAACAGATGGATCCAATTAAAAAATAAAAAATAAGTAAATAAATGAATAACTTTTAAAAAAATACATACTAATAGAAGCGGATTGTTAATGACTCATTGGAGACTTATAACAGATTGTCCAGCTAATAAATCTTTTTTCTTTAAAACAGGTTCTTACACAAAGATGGGTCAATTTTGCCTGTTTGTTTGTTTGTTTCATTCAATGCTACATTGCTATTTCAATAATTTTGGTTTCTCAAGAAAGCTGCAGAGTGATAGAATGATACCGTTTCCCCCCCTAGTTTTTGCTACTTTCCTGTGCAATTGGTTCCCGCGTGTAAACACTACTAGGGACTAGTCCCTGCGACCAGTCCCTTCATGTAAACTCTTCAGAGGACTAGTCGCAGGGACTAGTTGCAAGCACTACTACCCTCGTATGTGCCGACCTTTAGACATCTCAGAGACACCTCACCCAGATATTAATTACGGCTTGTTGTTTTGGAACAAATGTAATCCCTATCCTATTTTTGAGGGCTTGTACTTCATCAGTTTCTTACATTCTACGATTCCGTTCTACTTATCATTGACATAATGAAATAGCTAAAATCTGACCTTCCATGGGAGGATTTTCCTGCGGGAAAACTGGTGCCTTCTTGGGGATGGTCGGTAGAATCAACACATCGTATTTTTCAAGTGCTGCATCGTACGCTTTACAAAGCTCTCGACCTAGGTTCTGCGCTTTTCCATAGAATACACTGTTGTAATCCTCGTGCAAATACTTGGCGATCAGCCGAACAAGTTTGCAGCTTTTTGACAGGTCATTTGAGTGGCATTTTAGGCCTCGAGAGAAGGCTTCCTGTAGAGTAGTGTCGTAATACATCTCTGCTGAAGTTCCAAAACCTGCAAGACATCAAGTACAACATACCTGGATGATAACAAATGACTTGACAGGATGTGGCAATTCTAGAAACAAAATGACATGAAATGACATCACATATATCATGACAAATTTGACACGTCATGCACGTCATGACCTTACATCACATCATATCAAATGACGTAAATGATCGTGACTTGCTCCACGTGGCTTGACATGATAATGGATAAAACATAGACCTCTACCGTCTAACGTCGCCAAATAAAAAGGTAACTGTAAAATTAATTGGATCAATTCGAGAGAAAATCATTGTTGTTTCTGATCCTTTGATGACTGTTGAGCAAAATTTTCACCGGTGAAAGCACCAACTGCTAGACAAATGCACACCAAGAAAGCGCTTGAATTGACTCTTTGATCCGAAACTTTCTCTCGGAACACCCCTTGAAACCCCCCGCAAAAGTCAAATCATAATGGGCGTATAGAACATAACAGTATAACAATAAAAAAATGTCTCACCGGCTCCTTCAAACATCATTCGATCGCCTCCGATTTGCAGGATGGGACCAAATATTTGCGTACCTTTAAAAATGTATAAACGTATGGCCAAAGAAAACGATAAGATAAGCGAAGAAACAGAAAGGCAAATAAATAAAAAGAAAAGAAGTTTATGTGACCTTGAGGCGATTACCATAGTAACCAACAATGTTTAAAAGAACCAGAACGTTTTTAAGCTTTCCGAAATTCTCGGGTCATCGCCAATAGTAACAGCTTGTTGGACATTTATTTAATTGGCAATCTTTTATTAAATAAAATTATCCATTTTAACGGTACAAAATTGATATATGACAGAGAAGTATAAATATAGATTATCTATCTCATGTAGGACCATAAACAATCACAAAATTCTGATTTACCGTCAGAATGCATCGGGACAGACACTTCTTCGACAACTGCACCGCCTGCAGTGCCGAGCTGTTCAGCGGCCTCTCTAACCATCTTATCCACATCCGCTTCGGAATTCTTCAATCCAAAGCCTTCTTTCAAGATTCCAATCTTCAAGTTGTCTATTTTTCCTGTGAGCTGATCATGACCAAATCACTTTGCATTAAAAAAAATTAATACCAAGGTATAATATTTGGGTTTTCAGATTAAAACAGACAAGTGATGACGGTAGACGCATTTCTATTTCAATCAACTTCTTCCTTTCCCAACCCTAACGCTCAAGCCCAAGTGTCTCCGCCTGACGTATGGCACAGCGTAAGAGGAGTTGCCAACCACGATTCATATGCAGTCAGTAAAGTCAAAGTATCACTCAAGAAACCTTTCTTGGTATCAGACTGAAGCATGTCCCATTACCACGGTGTTTTTAGCTTCTCAGCACTCATTGTTTGTAGCTAGTTTCAATTCCGCAATTCCCCCCCCCCCCTCCTACACACACGCACCAGTCTCTTTTTTCCGTTCTCCATCACGAAGCTTCCTTCTACAACTGGGGCAAGTTGTTCAAAGGGCAGGTAACGCTATCCAACGAATAAATCGCTGGCCAAAACATTCTGCACTGTCCAACGGATAGAGATCTATCTAGTGGCTAGCGCTATCCACCTTTCGCTCAATCGGGGCCTTACCAATGACTAATTTACCAAGGAAACACGAATGATTTCTGGACTCTAATTGGAGAAGAAACACAGAACGCATCGCTGTCCCTCCGCTTTTTTTTTTCCGTGCATGATTTATGGCTCGTACAATTCTAGAGCAGACCTACCAACGAAGTATACTCTGGCACTTTGAGATCCCGTGGCTGCCTAGGGTCCAGTCCCCCGTCATACCCTGCCATGACCTATAAGAAAGACTGGACTGGACTAGTTCATCATTACTCATGATTGAATCAATATTTTAATAGCCAAGACAGGTGGCTCAAAATTATGGGCGGGTAGCAATTACAGCTGGACAATTAAAAGAACCTTTCCCAACATAAATTTCAAGCAATTTGTAGAATATTTCGATTTATTGCTCAATAACTACATCTGCTATGATTACCATGTTTGCCCAGAGTCGCTGGCATACAACTATACAAGAAATCAGATAGACCGACAGGAAACAAAAAATCCGATAAATCGGGATTCTATTTAATCATAACACCTATAACCTCCATAAGGAAGTCGCAGATTCCAGTGCCCTTTTTATTTTCCGCAAAAAATAAATATATCAGGAAATTCAAAGTTATCCGTGTCAAATATACATTAAATCATGCATAGTAACCCTACCTCCAACATCAGAGCTGTATCATACACAGTCCTGGCCATAGGTCCCGTATGATCCAAAGTGAATTCTATCGGCATGATGCCCGTATATGGAACTAACCCGTATGTTGGTTTCAGTCCCACAATACCGCAACAGGCAGCGGGGATCCTTATTGACCCTCCTTGGTCTCCACCGGTTGCCATATCAACTTGCCCTCCAGCCACCTTAAAAACGACGAGAAGACAAGAGCGTAATCAAGAAACGTGGCTGCACAAAGCAGCCACATTTAATCAACTTGCCCTCCAGCCACCTTAATAGCAAGGGGAAAGAAAGGATGTAAGAGAGAGTCGAGTTCGCACGGATTAACAAACAATGAGATTTATTCAAAATAGATGAATGACAGTTTTTAGTCTGGAAAATGTGAGTGCTCGGAATGAAAAGAAACTGAGTCCAATCAAAAGGAAAGGAAAGAGAACTATGGAAGGCTCTTTGTTTCCTTATTTACGAAGGAGATTATACCAACATGGTGACAGTTATGCACATAATGAAAATACAATTCTATTCACCTAGACGTAGCTGTATCTAAATTTCTTTTGAGTAAGGAGTTGGTAGGACATTGTTGTTCGTTCATACTAACCAAAGCTGCAGATCCTGAAGACGACCCTCCACTCATTCTCGTCTTATTGTGAGGATTAACCACCGGACCAGTGGCAGCAGTAAAACTGCCTCCGCTACAACACAAATTTTCAACACAACTTTTCCCCACTATGTGTCCACCGGCATCCAATATCCGGGTCACTACAGTAGCATCCACATCCGGGACAAATCCTTCCAGGATGAGGGAGCCATTCATCATGGGTACCCCTGCCACACATGTGTTGTCCTTGACAGCCACAGTTTTGCCGTGAAGTTTACCACTTGATGCTCCTTTAATGTCACATCGCCAGTACCTCAAATGAAATGTAATATATTTTCACCTGCGTTCGTTTAGTGTACTGGGCTACGAAGCCACATGTTGGGAGCAAGGCATAGCCTCAGCAGTATGACATTTATCTGATCCAAATATAATTCTGTCGTTCCCAACTAGTAGCTTTGTTGTCAAGTTAGCATAGCGCTCAAAAGGTGTCTCGAACGCATAGTTTCGAATCCCATCGAGACGTCAGGCTTCTTTTCTGCGATATCCCTACTTGCATCTAACCTGCGAGAATCATACTTTCACTTGAATACCTCAAGAGAAGCCAAGATTGAAATTCACGAGCTGATTGTCAATTATAGATATTAGGGATTTTAAGATCCAACAACGCGGAAGTGACTGAAGCTGACCGGAAGTAAAAATACCAAAAGGATCACCACAGCGCATGATCGTGACGTAAACAAGTCGCGTCCTTGCTCAAGAAGAACGCGCTGGACCGGTTACGGTGTTGCATATCATGCAAAGTTCTGGTACTGGCCTTCCGAAAATAGGTATCATGTCTGAGTATCGACAAGGAAAGGAATATCGCTTCAGAAGCATGCAAAGCCCTTCTGTTCCTTCGCAAACAGTTCCCTGGTCGCGTACGAAGTATTGCGGAATTTGAAGAGCATCTTCTACCTGCCCTACACTCGGCTTCACTTTGTGCTAGACTTCACTTTAAACGGCGGGTAGTTAAAGTACGGAAAATCCAAGTTGTTTGAACTGTTTTCTTCGAAAAGCAAAGCATATTCTTCAATCGTAATGATATTAGAGGCATAGCTGGCCAGCAAAATTTCGCGAGTTTCTTTAAAAGTCGCCATTTGCACTGATACTATAATGGGTCTGTTGTTCAGAAATTATCGTTGAATCCCGCCATCTTAACTTAAAATTTCCCGCCACGAACACGGTGTCCTCGACACAGGCCCCACGCGGCTTCGGTATATTTGACGAAGTCCGCGTTGTTGGATCTTAAAGTCCCTATTGTTAACCAACCGCCGCGGCAACTTTTGAAAACCTATGCACTTAGGCTTTAAACGTTCGCTTTTCAAATTCGTTGCAATGGTTTCGAGACTGTAATTAATAACCAACTGATTGTCTCAGTTGATCGCTGACATAGCATAACGGTTTCTTTAAATCAACTTATAAACTTTTTGAGATAAATCTTCTAACTTGTTATATAGGCTGGCATAACGTGTTCTAATTAGTATCCAGTCGTTTCGTACCCACAGACGTTTCTTCCTTTGTGGGTACGAATAGTCCTGGCTGAGTGCGGATCGACTGGGTACTAAACGTTCGTGGGTACGGTACGAGCGGTACGCTTCTTATTGGCTAACCAAGCAGGCGTATGAGGCCTTTCTGGACCCCTCAGGATTTTATTTCCCTAAAGCAAAATTTCTTCGGTGCAATCTTGATATTCCTGAGAGTGGCTCCTGATATCGCTCACAATACGACAAATGCAGAAATAAAATAGTTTGAATAATACTTTGAAACCATATACTATTGTAAAATGTCTACGTGGCCTCCAGCTTAATATTCTCTACCAGTTAATATTACAAAGATAAAGGGTTGATATTAGCATTATAAGAGCTTTTTTAATAGAAAGGGCCATGTCACATACAAAGGGATTGCGGCGAATTTATCTTTTCCTCCCACATTTCGCTTACCAAGCATTGTAAGGATTGTCTTCTGGTGATGGTCTGTAACCTGGGATCCGTGGATATTTCACTGGTAGCTTGGGGTCTGGTAACTCGTACAACCGCTGATACGTGTCAGCCAGAATATCGGAAATTGCCCCTGGAGAAAAACCACAACAACAAATAATAGAAACAATAATAATAATAACAATGAAAAAAAAAATTGCGATGATTCTTGAGGGCCATTAGTTACCAGTTCACGCTGTTATATGCACCCTTGTTAATTAAATGAAGTTCTTTATATATTATTAGTATGCTTGATCGGAGTCAGGTTTCTTAAAAATATGCAATCAAATAGCGTAAAAACACGAGTACCAAAAGTTTGGGTAAAAAAATATATTTATCTATCCGTGAAAACATATAAACATGAGAAGGAATTTACATGCACGAAAAGAAGCTTAATTAATTTCAAAGTACTTTCTCTCTCCGACCAGCTTGACTTCAAATAGTAATTGATTATTGGTGGTCTGATGAAGACCCGTTCAATCACGGTTAGAGAAAGTGACGTGGTGATTTTCAGTTTGGACCCAGATAATAATACCTGATGTATAATTGATCATATATAATAACTCATTACTAAGATTCCCACCTCGATAAGCCATTAGCTCACTGTCTTCCATTTCGAGGCCCAGGCTTTTTGCAATCGCAGAAAGACGCGAGAGGGTTGGTACACGGACTGCTGGCTCTTTGTAAAGCTTTTCTATAAAAAGGAGTAGAAAGAAATAAAATACTAGTCACTATAGAGAAAAATTGCAAAATGTTAACTTACTTCAGCAACCTGAAGCTTACTAAAATATATAAACAAATTGATTTTCCAAAGTTGTAAGTCAATGTTGGAATGGGCGCCAACGCAGAGATCATTTTTCAATTATTTTGACCGGCTACAGAGAATTCAAATTTTTAAAATTTTTTTTCGGAAAAGAAAAACCGCTTTAAAATTAAGAATTAAGAATTAAAATTTAGTGGTAAACACTTTTAAAGTTGTTTTGATGGACAAACAACACTGGTGTCACAAAACTCAAATAGGAAATATTTTAGCCAGAATTCTTTGATAAGCCGCTTGTAAGTATTACACTTCACCGAATTTAAGGTAAAATAAGGGAGAAATTTGAGCGACTGCTACTTGTCTCTAGGCAAACCTCTAACTACATATGAACCACGTCTGTCACACATGAGGTCACGCCATTTACGTGACACCTTTAACTCAATACAGTTTTACTTCGGTAAATTAAGTTGTCGAATGGGGTATCATACGCTGACATTCACGGAAATGAATATCTTCAACTAGGAATCTTATGATATCAAAACGCATTAAGTATATTAATCAGCAATCCAGGATCAAGTCTCCTGCCATTTCGCGCTACAGAACGAGCTTGAAACTTTCGATTACCCATCCTTTCTTACATACGTTCATCCAAGTTCTCAAAACGCTTCATTCAGTCATGGCAAATATAGCGATTGATTTCAGTTTCAAGGTTAAATAGGTCGAGGTCGTCAACAGAACTTGACCACTGGATTCCGAAAGAGCAGAGACTTCACTTGAACAAAATAAATTTTCCACGCCTTATTACTTAGACTGCTTACGAATCAATACGGCAGTAAACATGTTCGATATTTAATTGAGGGTACAACAGAGAAACTCAAATGGGGTCCTACACAAAACGTAAATTTAGAGCTTGCTTCTAAACATTGTCTGTAAAAATCCTGTTCGATGAAGAGTAAAGAACATACGAGTAAACTATTTGACATGAAAGTCGAGGCTTGGATTTGATAAAATTTGCATGTAAGCGGATCGTCTTACAAAGGGTTATGAATATATTTATCTGAGTGTTTTTGAGGGGAATCTGCGAAGAAAAAGTTTACTCTATCGCGTTTACCGATTGATTTTCAATTATTTTCGCTAAATAAATGAAAATTCTGGATTGAAATGAAGATGATTTTGTTTCAACACAAAAAACGACATTGTTTCAAAGCTTGCTTAACCAAACTCTTGATCGAGGCAACAAATGCGACAATAGCGTGGCTGAATCACGGCACAATTTTAGATCATTCGATTAATCCTTCGTTTCCTTTCACGCACATTCCCATACCTGGTCCCTTGCTCTCAGCCATTTTTGTCAGGGAAACTCGATTAGACTCGACGCCAGTGGAAGGTTCACTTCAAGTACGGTGGGGCTGTGAACGGCAAATAACACAGCTGGAGCTTATCAGCGTGTCACAGTACCTGACCAATGGTAACGCCATGCTACACTTCCACAGGCATACCATTGATTGTACGGTGGCTCGATAAAGAGCAGACCAAGGTAAGGAGGCTCTCAATGGAGTTAACTGTTGGCAAAAAATTTAGCCGTTTGACGTGAAAGTTAATCAATTGTAATCGTATGTCGTGAAAAAGTTAACCGTAAAATGTTTTCCTATGAAAGATGTGTCACTTTCAAAGTTTCTTGGACTGGTACGTGTCTTGTCTTGTGGCTAATGCAGTTACTACGGTTAAACAATCTATCCTAGTAAAGAAAACAAAGACATTTGGCTCAATCAAGTCCTTGAGTGTTACTGAAAAAGTACACCATGCATGTCCATGAAAAATCTCAAAGTTTTATTTATTTATTTATTTATTATTAACTATTTTTTATATTTTTCATTTCAGAATTAACCTGAGAAGCACGAAGTAAACGACGTATAAGTGTGTTTTAGAACACTAAAAAAGGATTATTAACCTTTTAAAATAATTGAATTAACTTGCTAACATTTCTGTTGACCTTAAGGGAAAGAAATTACTTTTAGCCGTAAAATTGCCAAAATTTTAACCGCTAGCCGTTACAGCAGGGAAAATGATCCTTGTACTTTCTCGTGGTAAAAGCCTGAAAGGAATAAGGAGAACATGGTCATTTTGAGTGCAATTATTACAACTCTAAGATATTCATTATGTACCTCTGTAGTACGAAATTTGCATTTTACACTGTTTAAACTTTTAATTAAAAATAGACCGACTGCTTTATAGATATAAGAAGCCAGAGATGAAAAGCTTTATTAGGTAAGAAAGCCTTTGCGAGAGATGCTGGGAAAAAGTACAGCCTCAACTACTGGAGTGCAAGATACGCCGATCTGACTTGGCAGCTGATTGGTCAGTCTGCGTATGCTGTTGGACCCCACGTTTGGTTTATGTTATGTAAGATGGATATATGATCGAAAGGTGGTAAAGGCATTTGGATATAACAATGTGCGCCTAAACTGGCTTATCGCAACTTATTTATATATTTGATCGGCGATTTCTTTCTATGATGAAAGAGGTTCAAACCAAGAGAATTCTCCTGCTTAAAAAGCTTAAACTGTCTATAAAGCTACAAAACGGGATCAAACAGATGGCAACGAAGCTAGGGATGTTCTCGGTGACTCACGAAAGCGTTACCGTGCCCGTGGGTAGAGATAGGAAAATATGGACCGCGCAAAGAACCAATCAGATTGCAAGATTCATTACAGTGCCCTCTGAGAAGGAAATTAATATTTAGATCGACTCACTCCTTCGAAGTTACTTCGGAAAGACGACAGAGGATGTGTTCAACGTTTTTCAAGCGACGCCGATATTAGTCATTTTACTTCACTGTAGTTTTGTAGAGGAAGTAAAAAAAAACTATCGACTCACGTGTACATAAACTTTTTCTGCTTGTTAAACCCTTTGTCTCACGACTTTAGGGCTTCGTATCTATTGACACAATGCAATTCTTGAATTTCCCCATTACAACCTCTCGGTTTCCTGCTTAAAACCTCTTGAGCCTGTCTTTTCGTGTGTGTATCCCATAAGGCGTCTACCGAAATTTTTTATCGGTCTTTCGTCTTTGGTTCCTTGCAGATACAACAAATGCCGTCAACCGAATTGTGTCTCTTCACCACAATCGTTTTTGTAAGCGCTGGAGCGCAAAGTGCGCACGGAAGAGCGAACGCACAGCGAGGGGGAAAAAGTCAAATCCTCTAAGGCTTTTATTTCACAAGTGTGCTCTTGTAAACCTAACCGACACTCCTGAAAAGGGGGGCTGTGATAGATATCCACACTTAAGGAAGTTACCTCCGCCGTTCTTGTAACAAAGATACGGAAAACACCAAATATTCCTCAGGCCGACAGCATAACCGACACATGACGGCTATGAAATCATTTTTCGAGGTCCATTTTTCGCGCTCTTCATTGTGGCTCGCATCGGAGCTTTCGCCCACCGTTATAACAACAAGTTTGGACGTTATTCGTCATGATTTTTTCAACTTTTTACGTTATTTTTTAGATCAGCTTCCCGAATTCAAGTTCACCTCTCCAAATGAATCTACTTCCTTGCTGACGGAAGCCAAAACGAGAAGTGATTATGATGTCATAGAGGGTAATGAATCTGGTGCCGACGTCATCGATCAGCCGATTGTTAGGGCGGGAAACTGAGCATATTTGACTAATAACCCGAAATCTCTCTTGATTGAGCAGCTCTGTGATCAACGTGCTTCTTTATTTCATTATCGAGCTCAAAATGACTGACCATAATTTCTTAATCTGCTTCCTCATATGACGCTTTCGACATGGATATCGTAGCAATTAACAGGACACGTCATAAATATATAAACCTAGTAATGGTCTGTTTCTGTGGCTCACCAGTAGATCACAAAAACCACCATTAAAATGGTATCACAAACAAAAAAATCCACAAACAGAAAAAAAAATAAAATCCGAATAAACTAAGCCAGTCACATAATGCAATTAGTTTTCATTATATGAATGTTACCTGCCACACAAAGCTGATGACTTATCAAGTGTGGGAGCTTTTCTAGTTTGCTTGGCGATTGTTGATATGCACGTGTTGGTGATTGAACTTTTGTTCCATTTGCTCGATTTTACAAAAAATGATAATGCTAAAAAATTAGATCCAAAGTAACCCCATCTTGTCAATTTACAGCAGTTAACAACTGAGAACAGGATGAAGTCTAAACGGCTTCTTTAATTTTGATCTGACTAAAAAAATTTCTAAACAGTGGTACGATTCGTGAATGATGCCTGTGCACGCATTGCACGCACATTTCCTGGCCTCAATTTGAATAACAACAGATTGAGCAAAGTGGTCGATACACACGATCTTATCTCAGCTTGGTAGTTACTGCGGTGTGTGCATAAGCATCTTTCTGTCTGGTAGTATTTTCTTTGTTTTCGTTGTATGCACGAACTACCAAAAGTTAGGTCACAAGGGAATCCTAAACACTTAAACATCCTTAATTATGCACATTTTGTACCTTGCACGTTTAGTTTTAGTCCAGTTTGCGCTCAAGTTCAAGTTGTGCCGTTTCTTGAATACGAAAAACGCTGATAGGGTTTGTATGTTTTGCTTGTAGATTTTGTACCTACGGCTTTTGTATTCTATTGTATCTGCAACATTTGCTCTTTTTTTTTTAACCATAGAACCGCCTCTGAGGAAACGACATTTTCTTTCCAAACCTGACCAAGATTTAGTGTGTCGTCGTTTCAAGAATAGAGTGAAATTCGTCTCCGCGAATTCGTTCGTGTGCGGGTCTTATCTCAGCTTGGGTTCTTTTCTGAACAGGTTCCCATTGCACATAATAAGAAGAGAGAAAATTGCGTTTCCTTATTTCACAACGTTTCTCCGTGAATTTCTTTAAGGAAGGTCGGTGAGCAAAGGAAGGAAAAGTAACTAATTGTACGCACACACTGCCGCTGAGGAAAACTTCTGAGAAAGGGACAGAAAAATCGGAAAGTTATCAACAGTTGCTACAAATTCTAACCAGATGAGTTTACCATGGTGTGATATTTTCCACAAAGAACGATCGACTAAAACGGCTTTGGAATAACTCGCAAACTCTTAAAATCACACCCCCACGAGGTAAGACAAAAATTAACTATTTCCGACTTTTTGCATTTAGCATTTCAAAATTCAGTCTCCGTACGAACACTCCGCAAGATTTTTCAACACAGCCCTCTAAAAGGTCTGTTTTTGTAGTTGAATGGGAGTAATCGTCAATCTTTTGACTGCCAGACTCTTTAATAAATAATCTACGCAGGTTTCTCTTCTTTGTTTACTTTAAATGGTAAGGAAAATCACTCTAAGTAAATTCAAATGAGTGTTAAAAAAATTTAAAAAGTTGTGATGATTAAAATGTTTGTTCCCTTTAATGGCGCCCGAAAATCTTTTCTTTCTTTCCCCGTAAAACTGACGTTGAATGAGGCAATTTCGCTAAACTCGAGGGAACTATTGCAGATTCCATTGGATTCTACAACGCAATTTATCATGGACTGAGATCAACGCTATGACCTAAACTAAAGAGCGAAGCAGAGAGCAAGGTAAGGGAAGGACAGAGAAAAACTGGTTAAAAAAGAACTCAGAATGACATGACCTTTTGAGTGTGCTTTTTTTCAAGGATTGCGATGAATAAGGCATTCTTCCCTTGCAAGCCGTTATGTTTGCGTGCTGTCAACTTGCCTATTAAAGCGCGCGAGAGGAAAAACAACCTTCAGGAAATTGCCTTCGACAAGAGGTAAGGCTCTTAGATTTATCAAAACTCGCAGGAAACGCGTCAGTCTTAACAGCACGAGGCCGAAAAATTTTGTTTAATGGTAACAGTAATTCATGTCGTCCAATTCGGTCTGTAATCATTCGAGGGATAACAAAATCGGACCTCAGGTGCATTGGGAACTGAAACGATTTAACGCCCAAACAAGAACCCAGTGCGCATGCTCCTAGCGTGACTGACTTAAGATGGCGGAATGTTTGAGCCGACCAGGATTCCACGGTAATCAGCTATCCTTTCACTTCCTTCCAACTTTGAATGTGTTTGGAAATCAACACCATAGGTTCATTTAATGTAGAAGAAGTGCACTGGATCTTTTAAAGTTCTGTTACCGAGCAATTCAACGATCGAACGAAACAGCTGACAGACCTGAATAGCAGAACTGGCAGATTGTCGATGTGATAGGATAGACAACGCCATATGCAACCGGGCCCCAAGATTGTTTCAGAACCACCTCAGTGACATGTATGTAGCATGCATTTAAATTTTGGATAATGGCAATTTAATAGATATACTTTAATTTAATACTTTTGTTTCTTATTTTTACTCAGTTATTAACTCGTCATACAGTAGCTAGCATTTGAGCTGGGTTTGAGTCCAATTGGTGATTGGATCATTACTCCTGGCAGATCGGTCAATAATTTTTCAAGTAGGCAGGGAA